TAATGACCAGGTCTAATTACAATACTGGTAGTCATAGTTTAGATTCAGAAGAGTATATAACATGTAGTGTAGTAAAATAGATACAGAGCAGCATAATAATATAATAATAATAAGTATTATTACTAGCCTTTTTCACAAGTATTAAACTCTAATTATACTGGCTAATAGTGTTATAGTCTAGCTTACTGTAATGAAAGATTTCCATTCAATTTAACCCATTTAAAGACCACAAATCGATCCAGTGATATTATAATAACATATCTCTTACATTTTAATTGTAAAAGACAAGGTTGGCTCCAAATGATATAATTGATTTTAATTAAATGTTTAGTTCAAGTGATTATGATCTATGAAGTTATACACTTTTAAAAATAAACCTTCTACAAACAAATACATACTTTGTAACACTTAATTTAACACATATCAACACCTCAAAAGTAAAATTCTTGTAGCAAAAAAATTAATTTATCTTTTTTTTGTTTAGTTTTAGTAGGTTTTGTATTTTTGGAAGAAATGTTTAGAAAAGAAAAAAAAAAAAAAGAAAAAATCTCATAGAATTTTTAAAAACTATCACAACTCATAATAAAATATATAAACAAGTTAACTAATTAAATACATTAGATTTGTAAAAAAAAAAAAATTTCCATTTTGACAGTTGTAAAAAACTGTGACTTAACACACTTTTATTTCTGAAGTGCTGGTATTTATACATTTACGAAGAACTAACTTCAATTTCTTGCTCCACATGAATATCATAAATAATTTTTAGGGAAACCTGAAAACTACAAAAATATAAGTATTTATTTATTTTTTTTTTTGTCAAAAATTAAATATGATGAAAGGAAATAAATGTACAATGCTCTTACCATAGATCAAGGTTCTTATGTTCATACCATTGCTAAGAACTATCAATATAAAACACCTGTTTTTGGTACAACTTGGTTTTGAAATAAGACTAAAATCTTTTTTTTTTTTTTTTTGTTTTGTTTATTCATTAAGGTTTTAGAATTCCTCAAAATAAGTAATTTATAATAAAATGTATTGCCAAAATTAAAACAATTATTTTTAGTATTACCACAGAATAATATAATTTATTTTAATATTAGGATTAAATTGAAGCAAATTATTAATCCACTTCTTTATATTATACAAATGAAGTTATAATCTATTCCAACTAACTTTGAAACCAAAATTTTCTTAATGAATCTTTACGGCTATTGTGCAATTGAATTCCTACACACAAAAATATAAGTTCTGATATTTTATGAAATAAAATATTTATAATCATAACCAAATAATGATTCAATTTAAAATTTTAATTTGTTAAATAAATGAATAATTGTCCTAATATAGCTGGTTTTACAACTGTCAATTTATGTATAAATAGAACTATCAACAAATCAGTATCTAAAACAATGAATGTGATCCATAACATATTCAGCCCAAAACTTAAACAAATTGTTAAAATTTTGTAAATTATTCTTAATCAAGCGATAATAATTTCAGCAGAGGAAGATATATTTAACATTTATTGGCAAAGGACAAATCATGTGATTGAAAAGATATTTTCATTATTTTTCTATTTGGTGCCTACTTATAAACAAATAATACATAAAAGGAAACAATCTGTAGTTATTACTTGAATATATGGTTACCTTTTGGTAAGATATGGAAATATTCAAAATAGTGGAAGAGTTTAAGGCATAACAAAAAAATTAACACTAGTAGTGTAGTACTGCATAGGGACAAGAAAAGTATAATATGAAACATACATACACACATAAATAAAGATAAAATTTGTAGGTTATAATTATTACTTACTGGTACTATTATTTACCATGAAAATATCAATACCATTTGAGGCTTAAAATTATTAAATATCAAATTATGTTAATACCAAATATCAGTTAGAATGATATTACATTTTATCAAGAGAGTATATCTTGCCTGTAATTTGTATTTTATTTTAACAATGAAATAACACACTGAATATGCTACAGTAAAACCCCAACATCAATAAATACATTACTAATAAAAACAGAAACTAGTAGAATCATGAGTAACAGCATTTTAAATGATTTTATTATTATCATTTTAAATTTTTTTAAAAGATGTCCATTCTAGAACCCAGATCTTAAGTAGTAGTACCATAACTCTTTTTAGTTTCAAGATACAAATACTATCTTAAACATCAAAAGTTGATGTGAATATCATCTGGTGAGATACACGCAAGGAATAATATAACTAACAATAGATTATTCTATTCATTATTATCACAATTCATGTCATCTTTCAAGTAATTATAAGTAACCAACAAACTAATCTAGAGATAATGAGAAAGTTCCCTGAAGGATTAAATCAGCATTAAACATGAAGGATGCTTATACTTGTTTAAAAAAAAAAATGTTATTGATGTTTTAAGTTCTTATTTTTGAGAACTCAAATGTTCGACATATTTTCTTTTATTACTGTTCTTGTTTATTAATATTTTAAGACATTGTTTATCACAAATCATGTTTTTATAATTAATAGTATTAAAATATAAGTTAAATAATATAATTCAAACTTTGCATAAAGTAAAGATTAAAATTTGAATCAGAGTTTTTGTTTTGCTGTAATTTCTAAACAGAGCTATGTTCTATAGAAGTTTCATTCTACTTCATACCCAGCATTCTAATAGCATGAGGAATTCAAAATTTATTGAAGTCCAGAAAGACAAAATTAAAGTTTTAAGAAATTATTTATCATTGACCACTAAACACAAATAATTATAATGGGAATCCATTTTCTTTCATAAGATGTCAAACTACAGAATAGGCATTTTCAGAACTGAGATAAAGTTTTAACGCAAAAATTATGAAAGTAGTGAGACTATTTTAGTAAAGTATTAAATTAATCAATACATTTTAAATTATTTTAAGAGTTTCATTTGCGAAATAAAAGGATAGGAAACAATTAATACATGTTTTTTATTTCTTGTTAGATGCAGTAATTTACTTCCAATGACTCTTGATGAAGAAAACTAGAGTTTCTGGTTTCTATGAGTAAAAATGTACAGAAATAGTTCAGGGGTTTTAAAGTAACATGTACTATAAATAAAGTAAATAAATGCAACTTTAAAAATTGAATATTCATGATTTTAATTTATTACATAAGTCTACAGCTAATAATACAAAAAGAGTTAAGTAATACTGGATTTAAAAATGTATTGCAAACATTATCACAGATCATTAATGAAATACCTATATGCTGGCTACTGTTTTATAAAAACTTCAAATAAAACACCTATTATTTTAGCAAGAATTACAAGTGAAAAAATATTGCACATTACATCAAATAACATTAAATTTACCATGATTCTTCAAGGAAAATTTGAATAAAAATATATGGAGCAGATGTAAGAGATGTAAGATTGTGATAAATTTGGTTAAAGCAGTAAATTAAAATAAGTGACTATAAATGTGTATAGATAAAAAGCATTACAATTTAAATGGTAAAGGCCTATATATTAATATATACATACAAAATGAAAAATATAATATATACAATGCCAACTCAAAATTAGTAAAATAACTTTCATTACAAACAATTAAATAGAAATTATTGTTTAAATAATACTTTTTACTATTAAAAACATATAAAAATTGTATATTCCCTAATTATTATTAGCTTTCTGATATTTTAAATTACAAATATACAATTTGTTTCCATTATAGTAATTTTGCTAAAATTAAAAAATCATATACCTCTTGTTTAAACAGATGATACTCACTTTATTCAGAAAAATAACAGAAAAAGATGAAATGGAGTACTGCTTTTACATAAGTTAAAATTAATGAAATATAAAGTACAATACAATAAAATTTTAGTCAATATTTCAATTTTTTAAACAATAAAATATGTAACATAAGGTATATAATTGTTATATGATCAATCCAAATTTCTAGAGGCTAGCTACAAGACTCAGTAAAAAATATGATAGTATATACATCTGTCTATGTGAATGTGTATCATAGTTTTATTAAATGATTTAATATCTAACATATGAGAATACAGGTATATATATATATATATATATATATATATATATATATATATATATGGAAAGTAACACAAAAATTGTAACTACATTGATACAAAACAGTACAGCAAATCTGGGACTGAAAACAATCCAGTGGGATGATAAAAGCATGTGTACCATCAATGTAACACAAATTTGATGCAGTTCAATAGCTAACAAACATTAGTTAATATAGTTTTGTCAATAGAGATTTAGATTGGCTAGTTAAATATAATTAAAAACTTGTTACTTCCTAAATTACACACCTTGAAATTCCACTTTAAGTCATTTAATACACTAATAATTATATATATATATAATTATTAGTGTATATATATATATATATATATATATATATATATATATATATATATATATATATATATATATATATATATATAATAGTTAATCAAGGTTTCTGAAAATAAATTAGAATAAGTCTTTCGATCTGTATTATAATCCCTAAATTGATATGAATTTAATTAAAATATCATATAATAATACTAAATAAATTGATCCAATGCAATGTGCATGCACTCACTTTAGTAATAACTAAATAGTATTTAATATTTTTTATCTCATGCAAAAGTGAACTTCAAGTAATATTTTTAAATACGTAGCAATTTAAAGAAAATTAAAGATACTTATTAATAATATGACATGGCCCATTCACACATATAAAATTGATATCATTACTTAACAATAAATGAAAATAATTAACACTATACTTAAGCTAATAAAATTAACTATTAAAAACATGGTATAACATCAAATATATACTTTTCAGTTAAAAATAAGGAATTCTGATAAAAAATAATGCAATTTTAACACAAAGTCTCAATCAAATTAATAATAAATTTCAAAAATATAATACTCATTTAATAACTTGAGTGGAAAAATAATAAATTTGGCTAATGCTATTAATTAAAGAAGTTGAGGTATAGAAATTTATTTCACACTACCAAATATAATTTATAAACAGAAAATGGAAAATTTAACAACAAAAAATTACAAGATATAACTATGTACATTCCAAAAATATAAACACTACTAAAAGTATAAATTAACATTCTTGACTTGGTAGTGTATGTAGCCAACAAAAATAAATTAGATATATTCAAACACACATGCTCTTGCACAGGCTTGTATACATATTTAAAATATGTGCAAAATTGTAAGAATGAGAAAGATACACCATACCTTAAGCACATTTTAAATTCCAAGATAATTTATTAAAGTAATGTTTTTTTTTGTTTTTAAATTATTATCTTATGAAATGGCATAACCCCATATATGCTCAACTAAATGATCAGTCAATGATTGACTGAATAATTCAAATGTTAAAATTACTTACACTGAATTTATTTTTTATGCTACTTATTCATATTATGGTAAATGGTATTTACTACAATTCAAAAATTGTAAATGCATGAACCCTATCAAATTAAGTCTTTAAATAGTAAATATCTTCATAAACTGGAAGATTAAAATGCAAAAATTGAATAAATAATGTTGGCAGTAATAATAATAAGATATTTTTATAAAATTTTACTACATCACAATGAAAATAATTTACATATGCCTCTGTGTGCTTGAGTGTGCACACCTGTTGTATGTACACACACACATACACACAATAAATATATAGATAAAAAAAATATCTTTACTTTTTTTACATCAATTTAATTGTATTGCTAAATTAAAAATTGATAAGGACCAGACTACTGCAAGATACAAGATAGAAATCACATAGCATCTTTTCCAACTTTTGAGCTTTAATTTTTAAGATAGTTTACATTCAATCTCGCTTAAAGTAATGAATATAACAGAATATTTTTTGTAAAACATAAGTTCTTGAAAACTTAAAATTAGATGTATAATAAATGGTAATATATGTGAGCAATAATCTTAATAGGCAGAAGCTTCTTTGTAATCTGATCCTTCCATTGTATAAAAATCCTCCAGCTTCCACTGAAGAGTTTCGAAAGTAGGTCGTTTCATTGGATCTTTGTGCCAGCACTCAAGCATTATTTCATATAATGATTCAGGACAACTTGGAGGACATGGCATTCGATATCCATGTTCCACCTGGTGTAGAACCTCAGCATTCGTCATCCCTACAAATAAAAATATGCATAAAAATTAATTCTTAAGCTTTAAATTTTATTTATTATTTATGGAGATAAAAAATCTACATACAATGAGAAACAAATGTGTACATATACTTAATGAACTGATTAAATTCTTGCTACATTTTTCAGTTAAAAAAATTATTTTATTCTGAGATAGTTTAGGATAGAGAAAATATTACATTAAAAAATACTCAGACTATGTTTATTTTATACTAGGGTAACAAATAACCACAGATCATCCCAGGACAAAAGCCAACCTATTGATATGGAAATAAATCTCCATAGAAGAGTGATAAATCATTAATCAATTTTGCAGAAAAGGAATTTCTGTGCCTTTAATCGGGAAACAATTAAAAAAAAAACTCTTCTAGTGTTCAGATAGTAATAAAACATTATAATTCAATAAAACTTTTATCAAATAAACCAAGAAGTAGTAAATCACACCACCACAACAGATCATCATAATTGGATTTAAAAAAAAAAAAATTAGGTTTAGTCCTCAAAAAAATGACAAAAGCTTTAGCTCAACACGTAGGTCATATCAAGGGCAACGAATGAAGAATATTATATTTTTGGGGATTTATATATTTTTGGTGATTTCAACTAAGATGGCTAGGAGAATACCCCTAAATTCATTTAAGAATGAAAAGAAGGTAAACATTTTAACAATTGTTAAAACAGAATAGAATAGAAAATAGAACTTTATTCTGGGGCTAAGTCCCCTTGAATAACAATAATGAACAAATCAAAAGAAAATACATATCTGGCCAAGAAATAACTTAATAAAGATTCTAAAAATATATACAGTATTTTAACTAATAGTATGTAAACCACTACAAAATAAATAAATAAATAACTAAAATCTTCTCAAATACTTACTGTTGTAATGCAAGAAAAAAAAAGAAAAGAAATTACACATATATATATATATATATATATAACTACATAATTTATACACAAAAAAGTGTACAGAGTATGTGAGTAATATTCATATATTATATGAATATGTATTAATATATTGTGGGGGGGGGATTAAAGTTTAAATAGTAATAATATCACACCAACAACATAGCTTAGGGATGGATGGTTGATGATTTGGGAAATTAAGATGACAACTGGGGTGGAGAATAAAGAATTTATAAATAAAAATATAGACACAATTGTCTTTTTGAATGTTTTAAAAATCAATTTAATAACATCCATTGAATAGTTAGGTCAAGGTAGCAACTGGATTTTCCAACAATTCAAAGCATAAAGCTCAAATTCTGAAAGAATGGTTGCTCCATAATGCAGCACAATAGTTTTCACACCCCTCATATCACTTAATTCCATCTATTGAGCATTTTTGGCCACATAAAACATTGTCGAGTTGAAGTGGCTTTATCCTACAGCAATTCCTTCTTGGTATTTTCTTTTTCCAAATCCTCAGAACTAAAAATCCTCCCTTGATCCTAGAATTTCTTACTCTATGTTCCTCTATCCACTCTCTCAAAACCAGATCTCAACCTATAGATTTAAAAATAGCCTCCCATAAAACTACTTCCTTCAGCGAATCCTTATCCTTAATCATTCATGCTACCTCCAAAAGGAGGTTGCATGAATGACTAAGGATGACTCTTTGACATGATGACAGATGACTCTTTAACTACCTCCATACGTTAATCCTCATCCACAAATCCCTTCAAACAACTCCTGTTCCACCAGTTACTCTTCGCTAATTTGCTTGCGTCTGTACACTTATTTACACTCATTGTACATTTATATTTCAATCAACTGCACAATTGCAATTGACAGTTAATTAGGCATCATTGTGTATTCTCCTAAGCCGGATCAAGGCTCATAATTATGTAACTCTGTTATTATTCTTTGGGGACTGTAGTGCCAGAATAAAATTATTTCATTTCATAAAACAATAAATTTTTCAAAATCTTTGATTCAGTCAATCATAAGATCCTCTCTTCCAAACTCCTAAGCCTGCACATATAAAATAGTCTTCTAAAATAGTTCCTCTCCTTCTTATCTAATCACTCCCAGACAGTTGTAATTCCTGACAAACCTCTGTCATCATTCCTTCAGTTAACAAGAGGTGGTCCTCGGAGCTCCTCATTCTCTCCAACCCTTTTTTTCCATTAATATCAGTGATCTACCTGTCTCTATTGAGCACTTCCCTTACCATTTGTATGCGGATGATTTCCAAATTTATCAATCATTCCAACCTTCTGAGATGGCTGACGCTACCCTATAGTAACAGGAGGATATCGATTGTATCAACAGATGGACATAAATAAATGAGTTAAAGCTGAATACAGACAAAACTAAGGCTATTCTCATCGGGTCCAGACATCTCATTAGTTCCCTTCCTTCTAAATAGGCATTATTTCTAGTATTATTAAGTTCCAACAAGGATCAAAATAGAATAATCCAGGAGTAGCTTTTATTAGACGTAAGAAGTGAACTAAGCAAAGACCTAAGGATCTAATGACATAATACCTCATATATAATAATAATAAGCTGACGCCTAGATGAACTCAAAATTCGCATCCAGAAGTATTTTTGGAATTGAAGACACCGTAAGGAAAGGAAGGGCTCAAAATAAATTACAGTAAACAAACTATAAGCTGTTATCTAAGAAATTATCAACTAGCAGATGTATTTTAAGGTTATATAGTTTGGAATGAGAACAAAAATTCAAAAATATAAGTAATGTTGCGACTGAAGATAAGCAAATGGAAGAGAGAGATGGAATTACAGGTTCCTAAGGAAAGTATTTCAAAGTAAAATATATACGGAAAGCTTATAAGAATATATTATGTTTTTCATAAATTAACAGAAATGTTTAAATATGTGAGTAAAATATTGGAGCTCAAGAACAACAAAAAAGTCCATATGTAATGATCCAATTACGAATAGAAAATAAATAATTTTAAGTAATGTGGTTTTTCAAGAGTCATATTTTTGTTGAATAAAAAGCAATAACTGAAGAAGTCAGTCAGGAACCAAATGGCAGCATTGAAAACCAGAGAAAATTTTCTAGAAAAAAAAATTTATATTTATACTAATGTATACACACGCAAGTTATCAAATGATGTGTTCAAAATTGAAATATTTTTATATTATCCTGACTAAATGTATTTTTACAGTTTATGTTTGAAAATGGCTCCTCTTGACGCTATAATTTTAGTAGTAACAAAAGGATGTTAAAGGAAATGAATATTGGTGACCTTTGTCCACAACTCATTTAAATAATAAGAAAAAACAATTTATTTCATTTTATCAATCACTCTAGATAAAAAAAAAATAAGGTAAAGAGAATTTGTTTGTAAATAAAGTTAACCAACCTGGATATGGTATTCGACCATAAGTAACTAACTCTGTCAACAGGATGCCAAAAGACCAAACATCGGACTTGATAGAAAATTTACTATAATTAGCAGCTTCTGGGGCAGTCCACTTTATAGGAAATCTTGCACCTACTCTTGCTTCATATTCATCTTCCTACACACGAACAATGAATCCCAAAGTCAAATAAATATTTACAATAATTACCTTTACATAATGATACATTAATTAGTAATGGGTGATAAATATTCAGGAAGCAGCCATTATAAAAATTGTTTATTTGTGCCAACATTTCAACCCAAACATGAGGGTTTTCATCAGGGTGTGGTTTGAGCACTCAAGGCTTTCAAGTACTGACCGTCACTCTTTATATCAAATTCAGAGTCAGTACTTGAAAGCCTTCAGTGCTCGAACCACGCCCTGATGATGACCCACATGTTTGTGTTGGAACATCGGCACAAATAACAAATTTTTATAATGACTGCATCATGAATATTTATCACCCATGATATGTAGAACAGCCGACTAGCTTCCTTCAATAATTCATTAATTAGTAATTTATAATAATTATGAATAATTAATATCAGCAATAAAGAATATACTAAACTGAAAAAATTATTTATATTATGGCTTAAAACCAAAACAAATTATTTATATCATTATAAATTGACAATGAGCAAGAGAAATTTCATCAATGAAATATGGAATATTTCTCAGAATATCACCTCTGTTGTCATAAAGAAATTACTATGTTATTATCAAATATATTAACATACCTTGATCAAACGAGCTAATCCAAAATCTGCTATCTTAACTACGTTTCCATCAGAGACTAATACATTTCTGGCAGCTAAATCCCTGTGTATATAATTCTGACTTTCAAGATAAGCCATACCAGCAGCTATTTGAGCAGCCATATCAATTAATTGTGGAAGTATGAGTCCACGCCCTTTTCCTAAAAAATGACCATTAAAATCATCTAATAAAATATAGTCTGTATTATTGAAATCATTACACCAATACTTAATTAATTCTGATTGTATATTAAATTAAGTAATCCAAACCATACCCTAACCATAAATTAAGCAATCATTGCAAAACTTATAAATTATATAATGCCAAATAATCTCATCAACCATCGACTAAGTTGTCCTAAGTGTGCCAACACTGTCATGTACCTCTTTGGAACAGTTAAAAATTTATATACTGAATTAAGCATATGTTAATGCAGTTGATTACTTTTTGTAATGTTATTAAAATATAGGTTGTTATAAAAATGTGATTATGTTTATTTCTCATGTTAAATTAAAGATTTAACAAACACCATAAATAAACTATGTACCATAAATAATAAAGATTAATAAAAGCTAAATATAAAGAATAAAGAAGTAGAGTCCCTAAATTATAGGTATAATTCATTTAAAATTTTATATAGCTTGAAATGTCGTTAATAAGATTTGACATAAAAAATATACAACTACAACTACATTTAGGCACAGATTAAATATATATTTGCGATCCCTTTATCCATATCTTTGCGGATTAATACACTCTGCATAACTGTGATAGTGGAATAGAAGTAACACAACTACATGTAACCTGCAGATGAGGCATGATGCCCATAGACACTTTAGATGTACTAGGCTTGCAGATGCTTCCCACGTAAGTATACTAAGTACATCAAAGCATCAACAACTATCGTCCTTTTTATGCCTAAAACCTGTAATTAATTTCCTGAGTCCATTCCCCTTACCATACGATCTCGACCTTCTGACCTTTATATCCCTTTTAACAGATCTGCCTCATTCCAAAGCTCCTTTGTTGCCCACTCTGCTACTTTCTAGAATTTCCTTTGTGTTAAAATTTGGCATGCCCCCTGCTTATCCATAATTAAAACCCTCCTATTCTAATTCCTATTGTAAAAACAGTCAGATACCTTCTAACCTTGTACAAAGTAACAGTATTCCGTTCTTATTATACACATCAGTTTAGCTCTAGCTTTTAAACAGAGAGGATCGGTATACTTCTTTTTGCGTTATTGTGCTTGAATAAAAGTGGTGTTTTCTAAAGTTTCTATTACAATTATTAAATATCAACAGTGTCATTAATATTAACTGTGTCAGTTATTTATTAAATTATTATCACCTAATAAATTATTCAAGGTAAGAAATAAATTTAAAGTTCTAATGAGCTAGCCAGACTTGAGATAAGGTGATTAACCCCACCATGTCTACCACTCCCCACCATCTCTATCAGTATCTTAGTTTCCGTTTTCCAGTTAACTAGCTACAACACAATGACACTGTTCTTAATGTAACAATATTATTGGCCGAGAAGACAAATCTACATTAGTTTGCACTACGCACAAATTAATTTATTACCAAAGATGTTGCAACGTCTGTGATATCGATGTACCGCAGCAGTTAAAAAAAAAACTGGTTTAGTACCTCATACACAAAGCTTCATAAAAAGCATCAAACTACAGCGGCCGAGATTTCAGAGGAAAGTAATTCCTCTATTTTGGCTGAGGCTGGCTGACGAAAAATTGCTGGAGATATTAAGGATATCAAGATTTTGCTTGGAAAACAAAGGGATCTTGCTTTTGAAAATAGCGAGACAGAAAAAGGCGGCAAGTAAGCTGAAGTACATCTGGTTGTGTAGAATTCTTCTTTCGTATTTCCATCTTTATCTTCTAAGGGCGCATGAACATTAATAATTGTGACATTAAATAAGCTCCCAAATAGTCTTATCTTGATCTAGATAGCAAATACGATTATCTACCGGTTGGAAATTCATTAGAGCATTTTGGAATTTCATTCTTATTAGGAAAACAAATCTAAACTCGTGGCGATCTTTACTTCCACTGTAATACATTGTGTAGTCTTGCTTTTAAAGCTTACCCACTCCTAGCCATTGTACTTCATGAAGAGCCACTATATCAAAATTATATTTATTGCACAATAGACGAAGTTCATAAAAGGTTTCTGGTCTAAAGAGCGTCCTCACATTCCACGAAACCAATTTATAAATTGAAGATATGCCCATTTGCAGTGTGCCAGGTTGTTTCCGTTGATCAGCGCTTAATCCAAGACTACTTTGTTTAGCTTTCTTAATAAGGTGTTTTTTTATATAGATGGGGTTGTTAGCCCCATGCTGAAACCCTCCTACTTTACCCGGGTTTAGGCAATGCTAAGGTAGATCTTAACATAGGTGGAGTTCGAGTTCTTTACAGCAAATATTGGAGAAAAAATTAGTGTACAACAGCGCTGTTCACCAGCTGCATATCAATTTCAAAAAGGCTTATGATTCTATTGACCACCAGAAGCTGAATAATATTTTTATCGAGCAGGAGATTTCTATAAAATTAGTAAATCTAGTTAGGATGTGATTGACGGAAATGCTCAATAAAGTTAGAATCAGTAATTATTTATCCGAAAAGTTTGAGGTTAGTTCAGGTTTAAAACATGCCATTAGGGAGGTAACTTATACCAAAAAGGGGTTGAATATGGGTGGAATAACGCTCATGCTTGGCTATACGGATGATTTCGTCCTATTAAGTGAAGACACAGCACCTATAAAACTAAATATGACAACGTTAATGAAAGCTGGTAGAGAACTAGGCCTCCAAATAAACACAGATAAAACAAAATGTGATTAGCTGCAAAAATTAATATAATTCCTATTATATCGATATAGAAGGTAATATGTATGAACACGTAGAGAAATTTAGGTATCCAGGGTCTACGATAACTAGAAAAAACAAAATTGATGAGGAGATCAAGGTTAGACTGAAGGCGGGGAATGCTTGTTATTTTTCTGTGACGAAATTACTTAGCTTGTGCCTCCTGTCCCAAAACTTAAAAATTAGAATCTATAAAACAATTATCTTACTTACGGTTCTTTATGGATGCGAAATGTGGCCGCTTACATCAAGGGATAAGCAATGTCTTAAGATTTTTGAAAATAAAGTATTGCACAGAATATTTGGACCGAATAAGGATGAGTTAACCGGAGAGTTCAGACAGTTACACAATGACGACAATGACTTGTAAAATTGTTGGACTTCGTAATGAAAGAATTCCTAAAAGGTTAATATTTGCCATAACATGACACACAGACTGGTAAACATCCAAGGAGTAGACCGAAGCAAAGGTGGGAAGATTGCGTTAAGGCTGATCTGAAGGGATCGGTGAAGGAAGGTGTGTAGACAGTGATTGGTAGTGTCTGCATCGAACCTTCGGGTTTGCTAAACCTTTTATTATTATCTAATATAACAATCCTACCTACATTCACAGAGTAAGTTCCTCACTCACTGATTCGCTTAAATATGAATTCATTGGAACATAACTCTGTCTTAAATGGTACAATGGGCTTGTGGTAAAAATACATACAGCAAATCTTATGAAAGTAAAAAACTAATAAGCATATTAAAAAGATAAAACAAATAAAACAGCTAACTTTACATATATTTCATAAAATGGATTACTTTATACCATCAGTAGAAAAAATATCATAATCAGTAAATTCAAAGAATACCTACCTTGCAAATAATCGAGCAAACTACCGTTTTTCATTAGTTCTGTAATAATATATATAGGCTCCTCCATTGTACAAACTGCATACAGCTGTATTAGCTTCGGATGCCTCAATTTCTTCATAATTTGGGCCTCGGCCAGAAAGTCTTTAGGGTCCATTGTTCCAGGTTTCAATGTTTTAATTGCAACGGGTGTAGTATTATTCCAAAGGCCTTCCCAAACTTCACCAAATTGTCCATGCCCTAATTTTCTTACAAATTTCAAAGAAGACCGGTCTATTTCCCATTGATCTCGGGTGCTATGTGATAGACCACCAGTAACAGGTTTTTCAACCTAGAGAAAATAAAATCATTAAAAATAAAATTAATTTAAATTGTAATAACGCCTACTATAGAGGTGAATCTAAATGATACTTAAATATATAAGGTATTAAAAAAGTCATTTAAATCAATATACATTGATTAAGTGCATTTAAAAATTAAAGAGTAGGTTGTACAATAATTTAATTTTAACTACTTACAATATTTACTAAAAAACAACAATTTGCACAGTATATATATTTAAATTATGTTATAAAGATATATATAAAATAAATATTTTACCTGAATGCAAGGTTTTCTTAAATTTACACATAAGCCATCAGGATCTTTACTGTAATGTTCAACCAATTCTTGTAAGGTGCGAAAAGTAGTTCTTCTAGCAATAAAAAAGCCACCTTCATCAAGTTGCCTTATTCTGTAATGTTTGACAGTATCACCATCCCTCACTGTAAAATTGAAATCAAAATTAAGAAGTACATGGAGATATTAAAATATCAATAAAAAGATAGACTTATTACAACTACTGATATATCTTACAGAATAAATCAATAAAAATCAAGACTTTTTGGTTTACAATCTGTGAGATGGCCGCCTTAAACAAGCCAAAGTTTTAAATTTAAAAAAAAAATCGTGGAGAATAAGCCATCAATTTTATAAACACATTTTTGACATATTTATTCAAGAAAAATATAATTGGCAAAACGTTACACTTAAAGACTGATGTTTTATAAGTTGCATATAAGTAGTGGGTAGCCTTAAGGTGAACCCATACACTAATTTGAAACTAACATTTTGCTGTTTTCCTTTTCCTCTGCTTTTATTCAAATAATATTAAAAAATTACAAATGCTAAGATTTCAATATTATCCTGTTTATATTCATATATTAGTAATTATTTTGTAAATGAAATAGAAAGTGAGAAAAAAAACAACAACTTAATTTCAACCGAGTGCCACATTAGTTTGCCTTTGGTTAGTCATCTAATTGAGGGAGAGCTATAGTTTAATAGAAGCAATTAATATTAGTGGCTTAATGATATTTCACTTTAACTTTTGACAAAGATACAATGCTGGAGCAGTATACATGGAAGTTGATCCTGTGTACAGTATAATGAAGGAACATTTCTTTAGCAGTTGATAACAGTATATTGCTGTTATATTTAAGAACTTATATAACACATTTTCTAGCAGCTAGATAGGGGTCTCCAGCTTATAACCCTGGATTCAGGGCCCAAAAATCAACCTCATTGCAGGCGAAGGTTTGATTGTAAATTACGAAAAAATATGTTATTCTGAGTAAAATGAAACTTGTCTGCTGTTCCAGAGCCGCTGCTTTAAAAAATGGTGGCTTGTTTAAAGAATATCAGGCTTGTAATTTGAGAATCAAAACAGGAAATCCATTGAGAAAAATGAGAGGAAAGTTTTTATTTTTTTAATTTGTATGTATAGGTTTAGTGGTACTTATTTAATAGCGTAGCATCCGACTGCTATCTGCCAATGTTTATAACCTTAACACTGATAAGCTCTTAGTATTCATATTTATTGTATCGATATTATTGAAATTGTGAACAAAAACAAAAACAAATGTAATAATAAAAAAATACTTTTATTTTACAACATACATATTAAAATAGACCAAACCATTATAAATATATAATTAAAAAACATTATGAAAACATTGCAACATATATATTAAAATTAATGAAATAATAAAAATAGGCAAAAAATAGATGAAATAATAAAAAAACACTTAAACAGCATATGTACATATAAAAGGAACACTATGAAGAAACGATAAGAACAAAATATGAAAAATTTTATTTTAACTTGATTTATCTTGGTAGGGAAAATAGTTTTATGGTATTTAAAATAGTGAGGAAGGGATCCTGTTCTCTATGCGCCCCCCCCCCCCCGCCACAAAAACTCACATAAATATGAATCCAGGTGTTGTCTGGCAGTTCCTCTGTGTTTTTTATTTCTTCATTTAGCTGAGCCCCATAATTGTTCAATGTGTTGAGTATGGACTCCACTTGATGGATCAACAAAGTTATACCTGTGATTCACCTGAAAATGATTGTACTTTGCTTCATTGAGTTGTTTGGTGTTATATCCTTTCCAACAGTCGGAATAAATGGTGCTTCTCTCTTGTACATTGTTTATAATGGCTTCTAATAAAGTTGTTGCTTTTCTATATTTTATTTTGACGATAAAACACTCGCCTGTTTCTCAGCAGACTCCGCCAAACATCAATTGCTCAGGTAGGACTCTACCTACATGATTTTTTCTTTTCGAAAAAAACCTCTAGTCTACTTTGACGACTTTGCCAGGCCCTCCAATTTTTTTATTCAACCTGTATAACATGTCATGAGCACAAACTTCTCTTAAAAATTTGTTCCATGTTATGGCAGTTGCGATGGTTAGTTTGAGCTGCTCTTTCCCCCACTGTATTGTTATTAAATTATGGGACCACCCAGAAATGAATTTTAAAGCCGTTAAAAAAGAAACCCTCGACCCCTCTAACCACGTTCCTTTCCTTATAGAAACGGTTTTGTTACAACTACGAAAGCATCTCCATTTAATCTTCCCGTTGAACTTCATTTGATGACCTTCATCACAATATTTGACCTTTGCAAATAACCCGGCATCTTGAAAATATTTTATAGCCTCTTCTTCTGAAGACGGCAATTCCCACAATGTGACAACATCCATAATTAAATAATACTAACTCACAGCTAACACAAGAAACAAAAAATAAACAAGGGAATAACTTAGGTTAGACGAGATAAGGGAGGTTATGTGAAATGAGATTAGATAAGAAGGGAGGTTTTACGCTACCCGCTATTAAATAAGTACTGTTTAGTTAGACATATAAAAACCAAAATTGCTAATGAGGTCTGCCACCAAGGGAACACTTTTTACAGCAAAAAGTTATATTTTTTCATTTTTTCACCTATAACTCCTAAATAATGCATCAAAGCTAAAAATGTACTCTTTGATAAATTAAAGAACGTTAAATTGTGCGTCGAACAAGTACATTAACTTTATGATTTAGTTAAGTGGTAACATATAAAAGCACGGTCAACCAACACTTAATTTTTAACAAATTTGTCAAAAACTAAGACAAATTACTATAAATGACCCCGTAACTTAGAAATGAGTTTCCTTAAAGGAAAAATCCATAGAGTCAAAGTTGTAGAGCATCAAATTTTGCATCCACAGAATACTGATATTTGTATTGTAAGCCAATTATAAATCTTGAATCGGGATTCGTTTTTCCTTTATGAAATTCGGTATCATTCAACACGTCATTTATCAAAATCCTCGGCTGCTGAGAGGTGGAAAAGAAGCTTATACAGCATGTAACAAACTCTAAACAAAAATAACTCAGCAGAATAGACACCCATACTCTTCAAATATTGAAAACCATGTTTACCTTCATTACCAATTTCTGACCATCGGGAGATAACCGATTTTGTTCGGAGTAAGTGAATTCGGAATAAGTTAAATTAGTTGCATTTGATACTCTACAACTATGATTCTATGTGTTTTTCCTCTTAAAGAACTCATGTCCAAATTGAAGGGCCATTTATAGTAATTTGTCTCAGTTTTTGCCAAATTTGATAAAAATCAGTGTTGGTTGAACGTGGTTTTATACATTACTAGGTAAACAAATTATAAAGTTTATGTACTCATTCGATGTACAATTTAACGTTCTTTAGTTCATTCAACAGTACATTTTTCACTTTGATACATCGTTTAGGAGTTATAGGTGAAAAAATATCGAATAAATCTGACTTTTTTACTGTAAACATTTTCCCTTGGTGGCCCACTTTAGCAATTTTGTTTTTTTACATGTCTAAACCCATACACACAAGTTAAAAAAATAAAAACTTTTCTTACATTTTCCGCAAAGGATTTCCTGTTTAGATCCTCTAATTACAAGCCTAATATTCTTTAAATCAGCCGCCATTTTTTAAAGCAGTGGCTCTGAAACAGCAGACAAGGTTCTTTTTACTCAGAATAATATACAATCAAACCTTCGCCTGCGATGAGATAGATTTTTGGGCCCTGGCTCCAGGGCTATTAGGAAAGTGAAGGTGCAGATTCAAGTGCTAACTGTCAGCTGTCAAACCCTTTTCAACTTTCAAATAAGCATTCAGTACCTGTAGGTCTATATTTAGTTTTTTAGTTAAATTTTTATTCGATAGTGTGGACTAAGCTTTTGAAATGTTAACTCTACTTCAGATCAGTAGACATATACTATTTTGTTCTTAAATACGTGGTCTAGTAGAGTTGATACCAGACTGTTAAAACTCACCCACTTTTCCCTATTTAATGATAGTTTTCTTTGACTAATATGTCAACCCTTTCACTGCTATAGAAACCCTTTAAAACGATGGCTATAGCCACCACAAATGAATGTGCCCCTGTTGCTAATGACGACTATAGTCGTTCCATTGCTTTTCCTTCCATTTGCTTATGTCGAGTATAGCCGTGGCGGCCTTGCTATATTCTACTGGTTTCCTAGTGAAATAAAGCTTCTAACAAGAAATAGTAATTTTAGTTTGCTTCAAGGCAGCAATACCAGCAGTTTCTAGACCTAGATATGGGACCTTGGTTGATGCATTGCGCTGTCTTAGAAGAACTGCTATTGAAGAAGAGAGAGAGTTTGTACACCAATGGATCCTGGGAAGGAGGGAGCTACAAAATTTCAGACTGAGAACAAGTCACGTACCATAGAGTAAGGAATAAAATTGAGAAATGCCTCCAAAATAAACTCCTTAAAGAACAGACAAGTGCTGCTTGTGGTAAACAATTGGCCCTGCTACTTGACGGAAGGCGGGCGCATCCCAATCGATAAACATCTTATTGGATTTAACGACTTCATTTCTTAGTTTTAGAAAAAATGATTGGATATAGCAACAGTCGGCTCCCAAAACTAAAACATTCGTGTTTATATATCACTTATCTAGGAAATTTTTTATTTCATTCCTTCTCTATGTAAGCATCACATTTACAGCATCATTTTCATCCCTAATCTTCACTCTAGGTATTAAATTCAGATTTTTGTTTAGTAGTGTAATAAAAATATCGGAGAGCAGAAAGTTATTCCTTGGAAGAAAATTTCCATATATCCTGGCGGCTGAAGAGAGAAGTCTAATAGTAGCCTGGCTTAATAATTAAACTAAATCTTTCAACCATTGTGAAACTGTTTGAATGCATGCTGAATGTAGTGATTCTTTTTAATCCAAAAAACAATAACAATCTATTCATGACGAATTCGGTTCTTCTCAATATTCTGCTATCAGGATGAAGACAGATTTTACACGAAAAGGCTAAAAAATATTTAAAATCAACTTGTCAATCTACTCTTGATGAACCTCAAACTAGTATTTATCCTTACCTTACTTCCTTACCAAATTACAAAACCCACCATTATCCAACAGCACCTTGAGCTGATTCGAATGTTTTCCTGAGATCGGGAACAGTCAAGGTCAACCTCTATCCAAGACACTCATCTTTTCCAGGAGCTTCTCGATCAAGAGGAACCCACACACGAAGAAAATAACGACCACACCCCAAAAGAGATTGAAAATCTTATATCGTTTGTGCAATCTCTTTTTGGAACACTTCGCTTATGTTTATACGTCAATCCTTGTCCATAAATTTCTTTAAATAACTCTTAATCCATCATCTACTTCATATTCAAACTACCGCATCTGTGTAAGCATTGTTTATTTCTGTAATTACAATTATGACTAACATTTAATTAACAATGATTGCTTTATAGTTATCTTGCCTGACTAATGAGCATAAATTCTGGACATTGTCATTATTAGGAGACTTAAGTCACAGAATCAAATTATTTGTTCATTTTATTTCAATTCACATATCTTATAACAGTTTCTTAATGGCTAACGTTCTTATTTACACACTTTATCAATACACATCTTAAAGGACAGAATTGTTGAAACTATAGAATAAAAGCGTAAATACTACTGTTTAATACTTATAATTCACTTGAAAGGAATACAAAGAAACTCTTGTAGGAAATTTCTGAATTTTAATGAAAGTCACAATAAAACATAATGATCAGTGGTAAATAATATCGAATGAAACTCCCAGTGAAAAAATTCTTAATTAATATTGCAACAATTAATTGTTAATTTGATTTTCCTTTAAAATAATAAAATGGAAAAAAATGGCTATCCAATTTGTATTAACAAAATGAAGAATAGTCAATGAAAATTGCAGGAGGGTATTAAAGTTTGGAACTAAAAACGACTTTGCCAACTTTTGAAAAATTTACTGAGAATTCCTGGCATATTCCTAAAATGCCCAACTTGCATACACTCTGCTACTAGTATAGTATGACATTATGCATTTATTTCAGCCATTTTTAAAGATACTACTTGATTTTAGGTACTCCAATAAATTTCCCATTTAAAACCGGAACAATAAAAATACTGCAACTTTGCTTGAAAAGTTGTTATTTATAATTTTAGTCATAAATTTTTGACAAACCAAAATTATAGAGCATTAACTTAGCTTTTACGAACCAGATAGTGAGTAATCATTGCGTCTGCTTTCAGAATCTCTAATGAGAAATGAACCATGCTCATTTTCAGGCAATAAAAGCTTCTTTTCAGCTTCAATTCGTTTTATTTTTCCGAAGTACCACCTAAAAGAAAGAGTTTTAAATAATAGATTAATAAATTATTGAACTAATTAAAAAAATATATACCAAGGAGGCAGGTTTAAAAAATTAAACAAGGAATGAAAAATAGAATTAAAACAAACCACTAGACAAAAAATAATTTATTAATTTTTTATCACTTTAGAGATATTTTGTTTTCTTAATGAGCCTGCTCTACCTTTGTATATCTGAAGCCTTCCATCCCCTAGATATGTGGAAAGTGTGACAACCATCATATAAAATACTATTAGCAAATGTCACAAATATTCATACTTATATCACGACAGGGAGCTAACTTATTGTCAGACATTTTCGTACAGTTCCTATTCACTGCATATTGATGCTTTATAGTTGAAATAATGTGTGACCCGCATTATCAATTAATTATGGAGGGTATCTAAGTTCTTTATTTTTGACTGTTAGCAAAATTATCTTAATAACCAGTGATAATGTTTAATAATAATGCCTTGAACTATAGTATTTACAAATTCAAAATAGTTTCGAAAATTACCTTTTCGAGCATGAATAAACCTATAGATAAAAAATTGAATGATGGAATGAAGTGATTATTAGAGGGGTTCTCGAAACCGTCTTCACTCTAATCACTACAGTTTGTACATACCAATGTTCTATTTGGAATAGGTGAAGACGGTAGCGGTAGGTGTGTTTTTCCAGGATAAGTTAAAAAGTAGCAGAGCAGTAGAATATTTGATATGTTTATTTATTTTAAATCTACCTGTATTATTAAACCTGGCACTAGGATCCCTTCTCAGAGGCAACCCAATTTTACCTGGCGGATCCATGGGCAGCAGATTGTAGATAGGCCATGAAATATGATAGATAGCTGCAAATACTGCCAGGCAAATAAACAGTGACAGACAATGGAAATTAGAAGAGAGATTGACTGCCTAACAAGTAGCAATTCTGTAAGCAACAAGTAACAAGTAGCAAGTAGCAGTCCTGTAAAAACTACATCCCTCTATGGTGTGTGACAATTGGTGAGTTTGCAACCCCATTCCAAATAAGTACGATGCCAGGGTTGGAAGTCTCTAATAGCGTTGGCCAGCAAACATCTAAGCGAAGGAAATCCCAGACAGAAAAACCCTGATCCTCAAGGTTGGAGGTAGAGTGTAGGGTTAACAGCCAATCCTAGAAAACCATTTTGTTATGAAAAAAAGAATAACCTTGACCAGAACTCAAACCAAACTTCACTGGGTGGGGCATTTAAAATTTAAAAAGAACGAGAAAGGATCATAGCCAATCAGGGTTGCTAACCACACCCTTTTTTTAAATTTTTTAAAAAATTTAGAATACCTATTTCTATAGGAGAGAACCTTAAAATGACCCACGAATGACTGTTATTTCGAAATAATGAAGGTAAAAAGAATTATTGGCAAAACTACAGTATTCAGTACCCTAATGTGCCAATAATTCACGTTATAAATACAGATTTGGAATCTTAAGAATCTTTAGAAAGGGTTGATTCTTATAATTAAAACTGAAGTATCCACAAATAAGCGAGGCAAGGCTTAACGAGAGAATTTTTGTTGGAACACAAATTAGACAAGTGATTCGAAATGCAAACTTTAGAAAAATTATAATTAGCATTATAAAACAAAGATGGAAAGCATTAGGAAACATTTTTAATTATTGTATTGAGACCAATAAATCAGAGAATTATCAAGAATATATGAAAGAACTACTCTTGGCCAACTACATTATGGGATATGACTTGTTGATAAAACTCTGTTCTTATTTGGATTTCTTCCAAAAGAATTTGGGCTTGATATTAAGCATGGAGAAATATTTTACCAAAATATTACATTAATCGAGAGACAAGGTAAACCAGAAAATAGAGCTGTATCGTTGTTGGAATGGAATACAAGTTTGGGTTGATCTTATTAAGTGATCAGATAATTAATATGAAATGTATGTATATTGTGAAGTGTATCATTAATAAAACTTAGGATATATTGACGATTGCTCAAGTAAAGAAATTGGTTATAAGTAACGTTTTTGGTGATATCACAATATTTCTACCTCTGTAATATCACTAGTTATAGAACAGCATGATAAGTAAAAAAACAAAAACCAACACCAAAGTATGGCTCAATAGAAAATCTGTTTAGACCATCGAAACTGAATTATCATAAATTAAACACAACTAAGATCAAGAAAGAAAGCCTGATCACTTAAAGATATAGAGGAAGGAGATGGTCTGACTGTCATAAATAGGCAAAATAGTTTTACCACTATTTAGCCTATTTATGACCGCAACCCTGGACCATCTCCTTTCTTTATAATGCAACGGTCAACTATTAAATATTCAATTAAAGATATAAAGTAAAATAATGATGGAGTTGATCAGGGGTGCGGTAAAATAAATACAAAATTTAAAAAAATAGTTATTATAAGTATTATATATATATAGAAGATACAAACAAAAATAGAAAATAAGTATGAATAAAAATAGAAATCAAAGGAGAATATAGCGTGTAAGTTAAAAGTAAATAGATTGTGATAAAAGATAAGAAATAAGTGTACAACAAACTAATAAAGATTACTGAGGAGAAGAATAGTTGGGGTGATCAGTCAAATAAGAAGGTAAAATAAATGATAATATTTATTTATTTAATAAAGATTACATTTGATAAATGTAGGTTAACAGATAAAGAAAATGAATGTTGACGAATAAAGAAATTGAAAATTGAATAAGTAATGATATAGTATAGCTAAAATAAGAATAAGTTAATATAATAATAAGGTATCAGTGGATAACAAGCTAGTGGAGGTTACATTTGATAAATGTAGGTAAACAGATAACGAGACTAAAGGTTAACAAATAAAGAAATTGAAAGATTAATAGGATAACATTAGTTGTAATATCGTTAGGATAGCTTTATTAAATATATATAACTCTATAAGAAAAAAAAATTTAAGAAGAGAAATTTAGAATGTAAGTATAAATGTAAACAGGGTTATGATGATGAAAACAAGTTGTACTATATATAAATGACAATTGACATTCAGTTTTTTGAAAGCGGTAATGGAATAGTAGGCTATATTAAGATTATAATAAAGTGTATAGTTAAAGGAAAGATGTGTTAAGAAAGAATCATAATAAAAGTCAAACATACCGTGGCCTATGGCACTGCAGGAGGCAGTTGATAGACTCGCTGCTTGGGGATGGAGGAATGTAAAGATTTTTTAATTTTATCAGAAAGGAAAGGGGAGTAGGGTAGAGATCTATATAAAGGAATGGAGGGCAGATTTTGAGAACTAGAGAAGGGGATGGAGGATGAGAGGCGGGTTTTGTAATCATTAATAAGTTTTTTAATGGCGTTGGAGGAAAAGTTATTAGAAAGTAGTATCTGTGGTATGTTTGTTTCATGTAGGCAAGGATCAGACAGAGAAAAATATCGGTGAATAAGGTTTTTGGCAACGTTGAGTTTTTGGTGAAAGGGGTGTTGAGAATAGTAGTTAAGTAATCTGCCAGAGTATGTTTTGTGTACCAGTCTGTGGATGAAGTACTGCTGGGATGTCTTTTAATGAGAAGATCAAGGAAAGGGAGGGAATTTTTATTTTCATATTCGACTGTAAAACAGAGGCGGGGATGATAAGAGTTAAAGACGGAACGGATGTCAGGAATAATATCAGGATTGAGGATAAGAAAATCATCAACGTATTTTTTTATAAGGAATGTCATTAGGAAACTGAGGAGCTATGGTGTTTAAGAGATCATTTAGAACGATGTTAGATAAGTCGGGTGTGAGGAGATTACTCATAGCTAGTCCTACAATTTAGTTGTAAAACTATCCACGGAACATGAGATAACCGGATTCGCAACAAAGTTGTAAGGATTCAATAAATGAGGAACGGTTGAGGGAGGTATGAGACTCTAAAGATGATCAGTTTTTTTAACTATAAGATGGGCTGTATCTATAGGGATGTTGGTGAAAATGATTTTAACGTTGAAGGAAGCTAGAATGTAGTTTTCGGGAATGGTTACGGATAATAACAGATTACGTTTTCTTTATCTGTTAACCAACAGTTAGGAAATGTAATCTTTATTAGTTTGTTATACACTCATTTCTTATCTTTTATCACAATCTGTTTACTTTTAACTTACACACTATATTCTCCTTTGTTTTCTATATTTATTCATACTTATTTTCTATATTTGTTTTTATCTTCTATATATATAATACTTGATATTTTAACTACATTGTCACCCACTATATCTCTGATATCATCTTATCATTTCTTTATCAGACAACTGTTTCTTATTTAATATCTACTTATAATTCATTTATTTTATTTTCACCATGTACCTTTATATTTTATATCTTTTGTAGCCCTAATAAGGACCTGCAAGGTGGGTAGAAACGTCAGCATAATAACTAAAAATACTATTTTTAAAATTTAGTATTTGTTTGACAGCAGCTCCCCTCCCCCACCCCCATCAACTCCTCATAAAGTAAAGTAATTAAGACATCCATTCCAAAAGAAAAAAGATACAGATAAATACTATTGAGCAACTGCACATTTTTATGAAATTATAAATTACGTCAAAATGAATCATAAACTATGAGCAACTGTATATTTTTATGAAATTATAATTTAGAGATTATAAATTAAGGCGAAATGAATCATTAACTTGAATATGCAGATGATATAGCTGACCTAGGAAGCAATCAAGAGGACATCAACACTTTTCAAAACTCTGATAAGAGATCAAATCAGCCTGAAAGTAAATGAAGATAAAACATAATACACAATCGCAAGCTGAAAATTCCATCCAAACAACAGGATCTATCAGGTAGAATGGAAATTGTTCTAGAGAGTAGGCAAATTTAAATAACTCGCCTCCACAATAACCACAATCAATTATCAATGATCAGAAATAGACCAGTGTATAAGTACAAACTGAACTATCTTCTCTCTTTCAAAAGCATTAAATTCCTTTAATGCAAAATCTCTAGACATTTCAAATTGAGGGGATACAATACCATGACAAAGCTAGTTCTGATATATGGTCGTGAGACCTCACTAACTAGCACTCTAGAAAGAACCATTGAGAGATTAGAAAGAAAAATCCTGCTAAGCTGAGAGACATAGACTCACAGTACTAACGCACGGGGAAGGTCCAATAAAAAATGGCAAACAGAAACTGATAATCAATATTTCATGGCTTAAGATATGATAAGAAGTTTAAGATGGGCAGCATTGAGTAATGAATCAGGAATCTCTACACAACAGATGCCTCAAAAGTTGGCAAGAGATCACATAAGAAAAAAAAAAAAAACAGATGGACACACCGAATCAACAAAGATACAGCAGAGCTACTTGCAGAAAACTGGATAGGCAGAAGTGGAGAAGGCTGATTAAGGCGGTCAAAGTTTTACGAGGTACGTAAAGCCAAAAAAAAAATCGAGTGATTGAAGAAAGAATAAGAAAAATATTGGTAATCAATTATATTAAATATTTATATATATATATAACAACATAAACAACAAAACAAGAACGAAATAAGGTATTGAAAAAAAATAAATAAAAATCTGAAATACTTAATGCCACAAAAATTCTGTATTATCTGCTGAAAACAAGTGTTCCATAATGAAGAGTTTCAACTTAGAATTAAATGTCATTATAGGGACTTATAAATAAACATGTATTTTATTACTTTTAATCATAAGAATTATTTCAAATAACAATCAACAAAATATGTGATTGGATGATACAAGGAAAAAAATATTGTAACAAGACCAATAGTCACAAACATCAATATGTACCAATCAAACTGATAAATATGTTCGATTATTGGTTTGAAAAGCACTAAAAGTAAATAATCAACATCATAGATTATAAGTTGTTTCTAAAAATTTTACATTAATATATATTGTCTAACATACATTAAAACAACGGGTTTAGCAATATTCAAAATTCTGACTAGCAAAATAAACCCAATAATTGAAAAAACAAGATATAATATAATCCAATAAAAAAACTTTATGACTGCGTCCTGAATATTTATCACCCATACAATATAATCAAATAACTCTAAAACACTAAATTCCAATCCTGTTCTAGATAACTCAATGAATATATGTTTAAAGTTAATAAAATGAAATAAAAATTGAACGGGCCATTTACTTGAACAATCTAAAACTACATGTACGTAAAGAAATTATCAAAGAAATAACATTTAAAATAAGTAATAATTCAATGATTAGAGCTAATTTTAAATACAAAGGGTATTAGAACACAATAAAAACAAAGAATCATAATTGATAAATATGCAATACTTACGGTTCTGCTTCAATTGATTTTAATTTAGCAACATAATTAGATGGAATGTATCCTTCTTGTTTAGTTGCTTTACTTCTAGCTAACCACCAGTCCCCTTGGGTGTCATTCAATATTTCTAAATGTTCACCCTTTCTAAAACTCAGGTCTTCATCAGTTCTTGCATCGTAATCATAGAGAGCAACAAATATTTTGGTATTAACATTAGAAGAACTCGGATTTTCAGGTTCAGGTACAGGAGGCATAGGGACATTCCTACCCGGATTATTAACAGTATCAAGAGCTAACTGTTGCATGGGAGGATTGGGAGATGTAGGAGTGGTACTTTCTTTACTGTTTACTGAAGTAGTCAAACCTGCACCATCTTTTTTGACAAGAGACCTCTGCCTCGTTATACAATTACCCATCTCACTAATTTTTAAACAACAAAAAGTACAAAAGAATTATTACAATGAATCATCATACTAGAAAACACCACTTTACAAAAGTCTATTTATATTCAAAAGTTTAAACGACATTGTAGTACAGCATTTGATTTTTACTATACCTAATCTTATCTATCAACCATCGTCATAAATAAATTACTCCATGAAAACAAACAATAACTCCATCTGAAATTCACTCCCTGGAATAGCGATAAACAATGTTACCAACAAAACAAATCAAATCTACGTTTTATACTATAACATGTACATAATTATTTCAAATCAAAGTGAGGCGATACAATTAAAAACAATAAAAAACATGTTAAAAAAGTTAAAAGCAAAAATTAAAATGAACAAGTATCTAATTTACCAAATAAAATATAACCCATAAAAAAAATTTAAATCTGTCCTCTGGAATTATTTATGTACTTAGTAATATCCAAATTGTAATTTATATAAATACAATTCTTAAATATATTTAGTTGCGAAGGTAGAGCAGCTATTTTTATGGAGCTCCTTTATCCTTCCTTCAACTCTATTTGTCAAATAGATTTCAAGTGGGGAATAGCACTTACCTTACAAAGCATTAGGAAATTCTTAAATTGCTACTTAAAAACTATTTTTCCATCTTTGCTTGGCAATGCACATCATGCAACGGAAAAACTTATGCAGTTTTGACATTTTTGTTTTGTTTTTACCATATCAATTCAAAATGTTTAGTTTCTTACAAGCGGGGTACCCCCCCCCCAAGGTCCATGGCGCAAGTACCTATCCTTCCAAGATATTTTATTACCCACCTTTTCTTAAAAACAGAGCAAGATAAGGCAGAATTAGAAACATCGTAGATCGTATACAATTAAACTGGCTGCGACCTGTTCCATGATTTCCGTTTGTCTCTTAGCCCAAAAATCCATAACCCTGTCGAAATTTGCCCCCCTCAAAAATTAAAAAACCCGTCAAAATATGCGCCTCTCAAAAATGTTGATGGAGCAATTTGTGCCATAATACTCCCTTCTGGGCGCCCCTGCTTAGAAGTAGTGGCTGGCAGACGAACTCTACTCTTAATATTGTTAGGGGAAGAAAAATTAGCCCGCCAAAAAAAAGAAAACTAGAGTAAATAATTTTACATGTTTCGGATAAAGTGTCACCTGAAAGGTGGATGTAGAATATAATTTAAATTACTGACAATTTGCACCCAATTGCACAATTGAACGAGCACAGAGCGATATCTGAGTTGAATAAAGTTCAACCAATCAACTTGGTACTAATGATATACTTGGCAATTTGAGCAAGAAGGCTTATAAGTTATTCTTCTAAAATAGAATAATTTCTGTCCCATTTAACTGAAAAATTGTATTTCTTATGCGATGATATGGATTACCAAATCACTTTTAGAAAAATAATTCATCAATAACTTTTCAGTTAAATGGTGAAATCCCTGTCCCTGACATATCTCTTGAAATAGCTTATAAAGAATTAGTTTATTATTGAAAGAAAATATACTTTATCTTAAACTATAGCTTTATAACCAGCAGTTGACATTAGTTAATAAAACACTAATTGATAGATGCATGATGAGTCAGAAAACAGTCTGATATGGAAGAAATTATTGCGATAAACGATTGAACTGATAAAACTGTACGAAAATGCAATAAAACAACCTCAAACGAAGAGAACTGGGCCTGACATTATAGCTCGAGATATCTGGGTTCAATATTTTTTAAGTCTACTCAAAGAAGAGAGACTGGTCTATACTACTCAACCAACAAGTAGGATAACAGAAAACTGGGATCAGGAAAGCTTTCTACTCATATTAGTTGAAGAAATAACTCTCGCCCTGAAAGGAATGAAAAACCATAAATCCGTAGGTCCAGGTGATGTCCCAATAGAGCTATTAAAAAGTGGACCTAAAGGAATTATCGAATCCCTTTCAAAGTATATGACTCACTACATAACCAAATGTGAAGTATCTGAAGAGTGGAAAGTTGACCCCATTACCTCTGTCTTTGAAAAATATAGCAAAAAAGTTTGTCCGAACTATCGTGAAATAACAGTAACCAGTAGCATGAGTAGGTTATATGGCAGGATCATTAAACAGAGACTGGAAGAAGAGTGTGGGCATATAATCCCCGAAGAACAAGCTGGATTTAGATCATGTAAAATATATTTAATTAAATATTTTTATTGAATATTTTTTCAACCTTAGCGTCATCAAATCCCTTCATGATGACGATTTGGTTTTTCTGTACGTTGACAGGTCTTTGACCATCGTCGATGATAAGGATCCTGTTATCTGAGGACTCGGCAGAGTGTTGGGTATCTAGGGATAAGTCATTCTCTTCTGTGATATGATACATATCGAATTCCGGTTTGAAACATGCAACTGGATGTCGTGACAAGTGGTCAGCAACCTTGTTCGCCTTACCCTCGATGTGCTTGATATCATATTCGTAGTCTTCCAGAAGCAGTTTCCACCTGATAAGACGGGCGTTTTGAGTTTTGCAAGTCTTCAGATCTTCGAGTGGCTTATAATCAGATGATCTTATGATTGATAAACATTTTCCTGCCGTATAGATAAGGCCTAAAATGGTTAAATGCCCAGACTATTGCTAGGCACTCTTTTTCTGTTGTAGAATAATTTTGTTCAGCTTTATTAAGCGTTACAGAAGCAAAACAAACTGGTAATTCTTTACAATTTTTCTTTTGGGGAAGAACCGCTCCTATGGCGTAATTACTGGCGTCAGTTGTTAAGTAGAAGTCGTCTTCAAAGTTAGGTACTTAAATTATGGGACTAAGTCCTCAATATTCGGCAGGGGGTATCGATCTGGGATCGTTTCTCTGTTGAGCTTCCTGTAATCGATCACCATTCTTATTTTCTTATGCCCTGATGCATCGGCTTTTTTGGGATTTACCCAAACGGGTGAATTATAGGGAGAGTTACTGGGAGTAATTATTTGTTTTCAAGCATTTTACTTCTTCTTATTATTTCTTTTCTAAATTGTTGTGGGTATCTATAATTTCTGGAATAAATTGGTTCGTCCGTTTTGGTTTTTATGGTGTCCCTATAGGTCCGTCGCTGATAATGCATCTTTTTCTGTTTTAAATATGACAGGATATTGTTTTAAGAATTTTAATAATACAGACCTGTGTTGTGAAGGAATATGTTCAACCCTGACCAGCTCATTTATATTTTTGTCTTCCTTATCTATCGGTGGGTTCACCATTTTCACTTCTTGGAGATGCATTAGAGGCAATTTGATTGTTCCGCTTTTATCACTAACAATTTTTACTTTGTCTCTATATATTCCAGGTATTTCCAGTCCGTCCGTTTTATAATCTATCAAAAAGTTCTTTCCTTTAGGTATTTTCGCTCTACTTTCTCATTTCTTGAGTTCAATCGGGAGGGAGCTCCTATTCAATATGAAGTTAAATTCACTACAGTCTCATTTATTTTTTCTATTTTCAAAATCGATTTTAAAGTTTAGGTCATCCATGAGTTTGGAGCCAACCAGAACGTCATGGTTTAGACTAAAATTTAATAAATAAAATTTGACTTTAGTGGGACATTTTAAAAACGTGTTTTTGATGTCAATGGTGATAGTTTATGTTCCCTTTTCCTCTCCTGCTCCAGTTAAAACGATGAAATTTTCATTTTGTCTTTTGACTCCTGCAGGTACTATTTTTGGATTGATATAGTTTTTTTATGCTTCTGTGTCTAGTAGCCATTTAAGGTCCTTTTTGTCGATTACATGCAGGAGTTTATGAAAGTTATTTGTCTGAAGTTCATGAATTTTTATGTTTTGTAATCCGGATCTAGATCATCCTCTAAAAAATGATTTGCTGTTTGATTTGCTGTGAGCCTCTTTAATTAGTTCCCTTATTTCTTTATCTTTCGGGTCTTCTTCTTCTACTTTAGACAGTATTTGACGATTCATCTTTCTCTGCGGGCTTATTATTATTGTTTATATTGTCCCGAACCTTGAAAATACCTTCCCTGATCTTCAGGTTTCCACTGTTCTCTGTGAGGTTGTTAATTTCTCCTTTCGTGGTAATCATTTTGATTACTGTTGTGGTAATCTCTCCTTGGGGAATGTCTACGCTCGTCGTTTCTTGATCGTTAGAAAGAAGACACGGCAGGTCGCCCGGAAAATCTCAGAGTGAGAATTGACGAGAACCCCAGAAAATGGAAAATGTGTTCATTGCAACTATTTATTAAAAAAACAAAACTATGTCCCCAAAAAAATGTGACCAAAGGAACAAAACTTTATGCGGACTATAAGAATGTGGGAAAAGGGGATCCACTTTAGGAGGGTCTGGCCCAAAGATTGAAGATTTCGCACATCATCAGATGATTCGCAGATGATCCCGACAATAATTAGTGTTAACTTTCACGTTCCTATTAAATTTTAATAGACGTTTTTTGCAGAAAATTATGTTCTGCAAATTTTTTTTTATCCAATTTTGTGAACCAAAAAATTTTCAGATATGCCTTCAGATTGCTTTCAAAGGCCTTATTACAGTAATTTTTAGATAAGCGATTTAGACTGTTCTCAACTTGGAAGACCGTTTACTCGAAACCGGTAAGTACTAACCAAACTATTAATGGACCACATTTAATGTAGAATTTTATGAGGAATATTTTCATTTATAATCATTATTTTCGTCCGATGAATGTTTTTGAACTTAAATAAAGAAAACTGACAAAAATGCCAAATGTGGGGGTGGGAGGAGTGTTTTTTTTTTCGCGAATTTGTGGATGTTTCATACACTAGGCAAGTGGGGATCTTATTCTCTTTTGATTCTTATTCCTGACCCTAAAAAGAAAACCTCCTGTCAATGATAAAACATTATAAGTTATTTTCCCACGAAACCCTAATGTCGCGAGACTAGCCAAGAAAAATCTCATAATTCCATTTTAGTAAACTTTATTAGGATGAAATAAGAGTTTAATAACTAACAGTGGTACCAGGGGTGCTCATATTCGCTCCCCTCAAGGTCGATGGTAAATCAGCCTCCCCCCTTTTATGATATTTAATTGCTCACCTCTTCATAAAAACAGTGAAAGTGAAAGTAGAATTACAAAATTGAAGATCATTCACATTTACACTCAAGGGTGGCTATCCTTCCCCCCAAAGTCGATGGCACATGAACCTCTAACCCTCCCCCCCCCCAAATCGTGGATCATATACAATTACACTTATTTATTTATTTGAACCCTACCCGGCAGGGGTTATGGCAGTAGATAGATAGATAGAAAATAAACTTTATTATGGGACGAGGTCCCTTATGAATAACAATTATGAACAAAAAAATAAAAACAACATCTGGCCAAAAATTACATTAGCCAACATTAAAGAATATATACAGTATCTTCAGTGAAAGCAAATTAAAACAAATAAAAAGCAACACCATTTTGAAAAAAAAACATACATTATTTAAATGAAAATAAAAACAGAAATCAGGTAAAAATTAAAAACTAAGCATGGGTTAATTTTAAAAATTAAAACTCAAACAATTTCAACAACCATTCAACAACAACAACAACCAAAAACCTCAGTCAAAATCAGTTCCACTATATTTGATAATAGAGATGATATTTGAATGAGGACAAGGAAGGGGCATGGCGGATAGCAGATGGCAAGGAATTCCAGAAGGCAATGGATCGGCCAATAAAGTAATATTCAAATGTCTTAGTTCTATGCAGTGTTGCCATTTGTTCGAGGATCCTCGTATTTGTACTAGGTTATGACGTAATGTACGAGGTACGAAGATCGACCAGCCTCGTACCTCGTAAATGATTTTGTTGACGTATAAATAAATAAATAATAAAAGGCTTAGTGAACCCGAAGGTTCGATGCCGACACCACCAATCGCTCACTACACACCTCCCTCCACCGTTCGCCGTCCAAACCCAGTCCCTTCAGATCGGCTTTAATGCAATCTGCCCAGCTTAACTTCGGTCTACCCCTCGGAGGTTTACCATTCGATACAGCAAACATTAACCTCTTAATAATTCTCTTGTTACTAAGACCAACAATTTTACAGGCCCATTTGATACGCCGGGATGAAATCACCTCAATTATATTACTCGGATATAGTTCACGCAATTCGGCGTTGTGTAACTGTCTGAACTCCCGGTTAATTCATCCTTCTTCGGTCCGAATATTCTACGCAATACTTTATTTTCAAAAACCTTAAGTCGTTGCTCATCCCTTAATGTAAGCAGCCACGTTTCGCAACCATAAAGAACTGTAGGTAAGACAATGGTTTTATAGATTCTAATTTTTAAGTTGCGGGACAAGAGGCGCGAGCTAAGTAGTTTTGTCACAGAAAAATAACAAGCATTTCCCGCCTTCAGTCTAACCTTAATCTTTTCTTCAATTTCGTTTTTTCTAGTTATCGTAGACCCTAGATACCTAAACTTCTGTACCTGTTCAAACATATAACCATTTACATCGATATCATCAGTAATATCACCATTTTTGCAGCTAACCATATATTTTGTCTTATCCATGTTTATTTCGAGCCCTAGTTCTTTATTGGCATTCATTAACGTTGTCGTATTTAGTTCTATAGTTTCCACGTCTTCGCTTAACAGTACCAGATCATCCGCATAGCCGAGCACGGGTGTTGTCCCACCCAGATCTAACCCTTTTTCGGTACGCATTACCTCCCTAATGGCATGTTCTAATGCCAAATTGAACAGGACAGGCGAAAGGGAATCTCCCTGTTTGAAACCCGAACGAACTTCAAACTTTTCCGACAGATTATTACCGATTCTAACTTCATTGAGTGTCGTAAGCAATCCTGACTATATTTACTAGTTTTTTGGGAATCCCCTGCTCGATTAGAATATTATACAGTTTCTGGCGGTCAATAGAATCGTACGCCTTTTTGATATCGATATACAGCTGGTGAACAATACCGTTGTACTCTAATTTTTTTCTCTAATATTTGCCGTAAAGAAAATATTTGATCAATAGTCGAACGATTCCAACTAAATCCGCATTGGTAGTCTCCGATAATTTCCTCGGCATATTCCGTGATTCCACTGGTTAAGATTAAAGTGAATATTTTGTAACATACTGGAAGGAGTGAAATTCCTCGATAGTTATTACAATCCGTCCTCGGACCCTTTTTGTGAATCGGAATAAGAATAGATTCTTTCCATTCTTCAGGTAATTTCTCGTTCCCCCAGATCTTTTTAACCAACAAATGTATTTTGAAAACTCCAACTTCTCCGCATGCCTTAATTAGTTCAGTAGGAATATTATCGGTTCCCGCTGCTTTATAAGATTTTAATTTTCCGATAGCTACTTCAACTTCCTCTTTACTCGGTTCTTCTATCAACGGTTCAGCACTCTGGTACTCAGAAGGAGGACACAGATCATAATTTAATATGTCAACCGGATCGGTCAGAATATTGTTATTTTCATCCCTAATTCCAGACGTTACGGGCCCTAAACATTTACGTGATCTGTTTATACCTTTGAACCTGTCTCTTACGTTATTTTTGATTCTATTAGTTTCTATTTCTTTTATAGAAAGTTTGTAAAAATGTATGCACTTTTTTATATATTGAATTTCGTGCCTTAAATTAAACTCATTTTACTTCTTAACTCATTAACTTAAATAAAAATAATGCAAAAAGGCTTTAAAATATATGAATAGAGGTAATAAGTAAAGCTCTGATCTCATTTAATTTAAAAAATCAAAACAATAACATTGAGCCTGCAATAGTACGAAGTTTCAATGAGCAAGCGTACGAGGATGTGCGAGGTTTGAAGTACGAAGATTTGTCACAGAGCGCGTGACAACACTGGTTCTATGGGAAGGGATATAAAGGTCGGAAACACGGGATCTTGTTTTCTGGGAGTGGAGCTTAGTTGATAAACTATTACTACTACAATACTATCGGATCCAGGATTTAATTTTGGGGGGGCTTCAGCCCGAAACCTTTTTTTTCATAAAAATAACGATAATTACTTTGAAAAAACATAAAGAAACTAACTACCTATATGAAATGGTGTTTAAGTTATTCCTTAAGTACTTTTAAATGTAATTACACGAACAATAATACTTTAAGAGGTATTTTTTAATTTTTTTTTCCCACAAAACATGGTTACATTTTTCCATTTTGGGGGGGGAGCTTCAGCCCGAAAGCCCCCCCCCCATAGATCCGCCCGTGCACCACAATCACACAAAACACCTTTATTATTCTACATAAACATCACACTATCAAGAACAATGGACTACTATCCTCTCTGGGCAACCTCATCCAAGCCAATCTCCTTTGTTTACAACTCAGCAGTGCTGCCAGATAACAAGCATTAACTCTACACACTCCCACCTTTACAGTTTATGCTTTAAATTTTTAAGATTTAAAATAACAAAACAAAATTTAAAATATACAATACAAAAATTTACAGGTTAAACCATTAATTTAATAACACTTGATAAACTACTTTAACAAATGTTTTATGCTTCCTTTTTTTAGTCTTGATAAGATTACTGGCTAATAACACTCCGAGATACACTACTCTTCTAAGCTTTTTTTTTTCTTCTCTTCCAGTTTTGGAGAACTTCTTTAGAGCACAATGAAGAATTATTCGTACTACCAGTTGTTACTTGTACTTCTCTCCTTGGACTTTTATGAGTAAGATCTGATTCTTTAGGGGATCTTTGGCTGACGACGATCTGATACTATCTCTTGTGATGTTCCTGGAAAGATTGTTTCGAGCTGCAGGAGTGGCAGATGATTTTACTCTAAGTTGTTGTATGAAGAGTGGAATTATCGTCTTAACTGGTACCGATCCGGTCTTCTTGGTAGTGCCATCATCTAGACGACCCCTTAGTAAACTATTGTAATGGGTCGAAGATATTCCAGCTTGCCCTGTATGGTGAGACTCACTTGCACTAGAGTCAAAAAGCTGTAAAGGTCTCCCTCTCGTAGATGTTCTTAGCATGAAACAGAGCTGTGTTTTAGTTAGGCCAAAAACTGTCCAACCTAGCCTAGTTTCTGTGACTATCAAATTGTCAGTAATTGGTTCTAACCTTCCTCTCTGGTTATGTTCCACGACATCTGCTGCAAGAATCAACTCTACCTCTTGTTTGTCTCTCCCACCATCGCCATCGCTCCAAGTTATATTCTTTTTTTCCAATATCTCTAGGCATTTATCATTTCATCTAGGGATATCACTGCAAATTTTTATGTTTTCCAACTTCGCTTCACCAGAAAGTTCACCTGATAAACTTTAAAGTTCGACTGAAGTCGTGCTCAACTTTTGTTTCAACAACCCCAAAAATATTATATGAAAGTATTTCTTCCTTTTCTTTCTGTAATTTTAACTCTTGAAGAACAGATAGATGCTGAAATATCATCATGGCAAGTTTTACTTGAATGCTCAATCAAATCATCAAATTTACTTTTTATTTCTATCCACTTGTCCTGATGACTTATGGATGCATCAAATTCATCCTCCAGTTCTTTTTCATCAATTAGTATCAAAGCTCTTACCTTTTTTTCAAACTCTAATAGATGTTTAGCCCTTGCTTCTAGTTTTCTGAATTCATTTGAAAACTCGGGATCATTTTCTGCTATTTTCTTTTCAGTAGAAGTAGCTAAAGTTGTAAATAAATGTCTCCACTGAGCTCTTTCTAATTTGGCAGTTTTCAACTCTTCAGCACTCATTATCCTTAATTTTCCACACAAAGGATGCAACTATGTGATGACAGGAAATCACTTCAGGAAACAAATGATGCTTAGTTGATAAACTTTTACACCACAAATACACAAACCACCTTTATTCTTCTTCATAAACAACTCACTATCAGGAACAAAGGACTAGTACTGTCTCTGGGTAACCTCACCCAAGCCAATCTCCTTTGTTTACAACTCAGCAGTGCTGCCAAATAACAAGCATTAACTCTACAGTAAGAGACTGTAGATGTAGGAAGGGTGTCGGGTGTTGGTCGTTTGGAATAGAAAGGATCCAAGGAAATATTGTCTGCGGAAAGAAGGGAAAAGCCACTTTAACTCGTCGTAAAGGTGGGACACATGAGACCGCCTCGAAGTACCGAAGACAAATCTTAAGCAGAAATTCATGAGTCGCTTCAATCTATCCTCGAGTACCACTGATCCTATCTAGGTCGGCCTAAATCTTGGTGAATGCGACAAATAGCTCAGAAGGGTGAAAGAATAATTAGATTTTGGAGTCATCAGCGTATAAATGTGAACAGTGGTAGATAGATTCGGGAAGATCATTTATATAGGAATTAAAAAGAAGAGGAGAAATGTTCAAACCCCGGGCCACTCCTGAAAACAATGTAAGGAAGGAAGATAGGTGTTGGTTCGGAATGCTGACTGCTTGAGTTCTGTCGGATAGGAAAGACTGCAACCAAAGGATAGAGCTGTTGGAGAAGGATAGATATTTTAGTTTAGTGTAGAGTATAGAGTGATTGAAGGAGTCAAAAGCTTTGGAAAAGTCGAGAAGTATTAACACAGTTAACATGTTTTCGTCCATTGCGGTATGTAAGTCATTGGTAATTTTTAGTAGGGCGGATTGTGTGGAAAAACCTGGACGAAAACCGGATTGGAGAGGATCAAGTAGTTTTGAGTTTTCAAAGAATTTAGAGATTTGGGATTGAGCTATTCTTTCCAGAGGTTTAGAAGGGTTAGAGAGAACGGAGGTTTAATAGGAGCATGTATGTCAAGAATATGGATAAGATTAGAAGTGATGATGTCTACCATATGCTCAATAGAGGTGCAGGAATAAATATCGTTCCAGTTTAGGGTTTCAAGGTCAGGTAAGATTTCATCACGGGTGAGGGTGTCAAGATTGCCGAAAGTTATAGTTTTAGAAAGAAACGTGGGAGTTTGGATATTATACGATAATTGGATGAGATTATGAGAAGAAAGGAATGGAACTGGTACTTGATAACAGGACAAGAGTTTCTGCTCTGAATATTACGATCTCCGGAAATTATAATGTTATTATAAGAAGGAACGTAATTGTACAAGGTTGATTCGAAGGATGGGTCCAAATGAGTCAAAGGAGGGCGATATACGACCACATAAAGGAGAGGATGTGCTTTACAAGAAATTTTAGCGAAGAAGAATTCAATGTGAGGATGATTGGAAGATGATGAAATATCTAGGATACGGGGTTTCAGGCTATTGTGAACACTGAGACCAACACCTCCGCCAGTCCGGGGCACCCGGTCATGACGGATGAAGGTGAAATCAGGTAAGGACACGGAGGATGAAGGGATATAAGGTTTAAGCCATGTTTCAGAAACTGCAATATGGTAGAAATTACGGGTGAAATATTGGAGAAATTCGTCATAGTGAACGGAAAGGGATTGTGAATAAACATGGCAATTAGTTAAGACGCTAGACGTAACGGAACGCAAAAAGTATATATAATATGATGGATGACGCTATAAGTAAGAGAAAACTGTGAAAATAAATTTGGAAAGAAGTAAATAATGGCTGTAACAGAAGAGAGAGAGAAAAAAAAGAGTTAGGTTCAAAAACATAAAGAAGAAAAAAAAATACATTGGTTAAAAAAGAGAAATAATAATATATGGGCAACCCAGCATAGTACTGTATTATACAATGAAAAATAATTGGGAGTTTATGGATACAATCTGTAGGCTGACGTAAATCAGAATGTCAGCAAAAGACCTCAAGATCATTTGGTTAGTCGATGTATATAACTGTATGGCCATCTCCTTTTCTGCAGCACAATCTAACCGCCGAAAACCATGCGTATTTTACCTTACCAACCGCTCTTTTCTGACGTGCGAGCCGATAAAGTCGTCTATTAGTACATATATCCGATGGGAATCGTTTTCCTGCCAGCCAATGTCTTGAGTTGAAAAGTCCCTTTTCACATTCCTTCTTTGCACCAGCTCGCCTGCTGGCACTGCCTGCCTCACGAAGCGAGCTATAACGGGTGGAGGTCTAGGGTCGTCTTTTTTAGGTCTACGGCGCTCCACAAAATCGATGTCTTCGATATTGATCATAACCCTAAGACCGGCCCCCACACTGGCAATGAGGGCCGAAGGAGTCTCTCCTGCACGTACCGGAATGCCTCGGAACTCTACTTATCTACAGAGTAGGCACTGCTCGGCTCTGTTTAATCTTACCTCGAGTTCCCCCACTCTAGATTTCGACTTTTTATTTTCCGAAGTCAATTCCTCCAGATGTTTAGATTGGCTTTCTATTTTTGAAAATCTTTCATATTTTTGAAAACTCGAAGCTGATCTCACCGTATTTTTCTAATGACGATTTAAGATTTTTAATATCTTCATTGAATTGGGCGCTGAGTCGATTAACCGCTCCGAAAATATCAGCTGCTGACGGCTCCTTGACTTCACTTCTTGATGGACTGGCAGATTTTTCTCTAATTTGGTATGTCTTTTTGCCATGGTCACTTCTTTTACAAAGCCATACCTTCTTTTGATATTTTAATGTCTCGATCTCTTTATCGCCCAGATTGCAGCATTTACCGTGGAATATAACCTGGCATTTATTGCAACTTATATCAGTTTTGTCCTCCCTAGATATGGCACTATCACAAATAGAGCACTGAACCATTTTCGTGATAATATGATAATATTTACTCACGCTAGAGGATTGTTTGTCAATAGAGGCGTGTTGTTGGTCATTTTTTTTTTTTTTTTTTTTTTTTTTAGTATTAATACAGTCTGTCACACTGAAGGGCATTGGTACTAGGGCTATAGTATTCATTTACACAATATATACATAAGAAAGGAAAATATATATAAATAAGAAGATAAAGCAATATACAAGGTAAGTAAAATAGCAGATTAGCTGAATAATAACAAAATAAATAAAACACATTCACACCTATGTACAATATTTACATTGGCCCAGGGGACTCCGAATTAAGCTTTGTCCTCAACTGTGGAAGCCAAAGCAGGATTCCAGGAGATTCCAGTGCTTCTCTCCCAGCCGCATCACTGGTATAGTAAGCCACTGGCGACTGATGGAGGTCACTAGAACAACAGACGCTCAGGACATGAGTGAAGAATCTGGCCAGTGCCAGTACTCCAATATATACATTTTTACAAAAGGTCGCGGGCCACTGCCGTTTTAACCTCCGAGGAGGATTGTAGGGATGACTGGAGATTGATAGAGACTGTGCAACAGGATTAGGATGATGAGTGAGATTCTGGTGAAATTTGGAAAGTTTTTCTGGGATTAGGTCAAGTACAAATGGGATATTAAGGTCACTGTGTAGGGTTTTATTGGTTACATAAAAGGGAGCATCGACTATTGTTCGAAGAACTTTAAACTGGAAGGATTGAATGCGTTTGATATTAGAAAGTTTTGCTGTCCCCCACAGTTCAAGTTACCTCAATTATATTACCCGGATACAGTTCACGCAATTCGGCGTTGTGTAACCGTCTGAACTCTCCGGTTAACTCATCACTCTTTGGTCCGAATATTCTACGCAATACTTTATTTTCAAAAACCTTAAGACGCTGCTCATTCCTTAATGTAAGCGGCCAAGTTTCGCATCCATAAAGAACTGTAGGTAAGATAATGGTCTTATAGATTCTAATTTTTAAGTTGCGGGATAAGAGGCGCGAGCTAAGTAGTTTTGTCACAGAAAATTAACAAGCATTTCCCGCCTTCAGTCTAACCTTAATCTCTTCTTCGATTTCGTTTTTTCTAGTTATCGTAGAACCTAGATACCTAAACTACTCTACCTGTTCAAACATACAACCATTTATATCGATATCACCAGTAATATCGCCATTTTTGCAGCTAGGAAATTCCTTAGGAAATTAGCAGGAGTGGAATTCCTCGATAGTTATTACAATCCGTCCTCGGGCCCTTTTTGTGAATCGGAATAAGAATAGATTCTTTCCATTCTTCGGGTAATTTCTCGTTCTCCTAGATCTTTTTAACCAACAAATGTATTTTGAAAACTCCAACTTCCCCGCATGCCTTAATTAGTTCAGTAGGAATATTATCGGTTCCCGCTGCTTTATAAGATTTTAATTTTCCGATAGCTACTTCAACTTCCTCTTTACTCGGTTCTTCTATGAACGGTTCAGCACTCTGGTACTCAGGAGGACACAGATCATAATTTCCCATATTTAAAATATTGTCAAAGTGGTTCTTAAACTTATTTAATATGTTAACCGAATCGGTCAGAATATTGTTATTTTCATCCCTAATTCCAGAAGTTACGGGCCCTAAACATTTACGTGATCTGTTTATACCTTTGTACATGCCTCTTACGTTATTTTCGATTCTATTAGTTTCTATTTCAATTATTTTATTTTTAAGATACTCCCTTTTTTTATTTTTGAGCAATTTTGTCGTTTCGTTCTTTGAGATTCGGAAGTATTCCAGATTGTCTTGGTTAGGATCATTTAGAGCTTTTAATTTAGCGGCTTTTTTTTTTTTGCGCACATGTTTAAGCAATCTTCATCAAACCACGGTTTATTATTGTTATTTTCCTTTTTTCCTAGACACGAGTTCCCGACCGCTTTAATATTATCTCTGATGTCTACCCATAACTTGTCAATATCCTCATGGTCCTCATCTGAAAGCTCTAAAGCTTCAAACCTATTCGTAACATCTAGCTCGAATTGGGTACTAATTGATGGATTTTTTTGATTTTTCCAAATTAAAATTCTCAAAATCGAAATGGTTTTCTTTTCTCTTTTTTATATTAAGTTTTTGTCGAAGTTTCGCTATTACTAATTCATGATCTGACCCACATTCTGCTTGGCGATAAGAATGTACATTAATTATACTGCTTTGCCAGCTATGTTGTATCAAGACATGATCGATTTGATTTCGTGTTTGCGAATCCGGTGATGTCCAAGTATATTTATGAATATTCTCATGTTTAAACGTAGTACTTTTAATTATCTGGTTTTTCAAGATGGCAAAGTTTATCAGATGGATCCCATTATCATTACTATATTCGCGCAAACTTTCTTTACCAATCGTCGAAACATAAACTTCTTCCCTTCCCACCTACAATTATTTTCAAGGAGTTTCGCGGTAGTTTATCATAAACCCATTCGAGTTTATCGTAAAATTCACTTTTGACTTCATCGTCACTGTCTTCGGTCGGACAATGTATGTTTATTAATGCGATTTTAAACCAACGTCCCTGAAATATAGCTACCAAAATTCTATCACTAAAGAATTGTACGTCCTTCAAAGCTGATAGCAATCTATTCCTAATTAGAAAACCGATACCTAAAAAATAATTCCCGCTTCCTCCGTACCAAATAGTGTACTTTCCTTCCCTCATCGATCCCTCCCTGGCCAGCGAACCTCTTGCAGAGCCACGATATCCAAATTGTACCTATTAACTTCATTCGCGACCGATTTTAGCCCCCCTGCTGTGTTTAAACTCCTTACGTTCCACGTACCAATATTTAAACCTTATTTTTGAACTTGCGCCATGATTCTCCTAAAGCAGTCCCCACCCGGAGACCCGAACGGGGTGCTAGTTTACCTCCGGATAATGTTTTACCTTAGGGAGATCCATGACTATTTGTGGTGTATGGTGAACTAAAGATATGTGAGTAGGGCGTTCAATCCTACGTCACACCCTCCAGCAAGTCTGGTGGGCCCCTACCTCCAGAAAGTCTGGAGGTCCCCTCCCTTGTTGGTCAACGAGTCCATCGGATTTAGGCGGGAGGAACTTCTAAGGAATTTCCACCGACCATCCCCACATCCGCCACCCGTGGGACGCTCCCCATACGCGGTAAAGAGCCCGCGCGTGGTGAATTGAATAACACTTGGAAAATTCAGTTCCACAGCGGACTTGAAAGGAGTCAGAGAGATGGGATCGAAGTACCAGATATAAGGACTGAGGTAGATAGATTTTAAGCTTGAAGTGCAATCCGGTGTGCCATACCCGGTCAAATGCTTGCGAAATGTCCAGAAATGCACCCGAGCAATATTGCTTGCTATCTAGGACTGAGGATATATGGTCAACAACTCGGAGGCCTTGTTGGACAGTGGAATGTTGGGAACGAAATCCGAATCAGTGGGTAGGAAGATTTTGGAATTCTATAATGAGTAAGATACGTTTCAGTAGAATCTTTTCAAAGATTTTTGAAAGGGTGGGAAGTAGGCTTATTGGTCTATAGGAAGTTGTGTTATTAGAAGGTTTACTTGGTTTAAGAAAAAGGATAATGACAGAATGTTTCCATAAGAGAGGAAAGTGGGTAGTTCGTAGGATACAATTGTATATATAAGTGAGGAATATGATTGCTTTGGATGGAAGTTGCCGAAGGATCTGCGGGATTAGAAGGTCGTATCCAGGAGATTTACGGGGAGATAGTTTTTGTAAATGATGTTTGACCTCAGAAGGATTAACTGCTTTTGGTGGTAAGGAGAGTGGGATGGGTGAAGAGAGGAATTCTTCTACTATTGCAGTGTGGGTAGGATGGGATTCCGGATGAGGAGTGAATGTGCAGGAGAGGTGTTTGGCGAATTCCTCAGCTTTGTCTTCGTCTGACGCCGCCCAGGAGCCATCACTTTGACGGAGGGGATGGCAAACATAGTGGGATTTTAGGATTTTTTTGGTGATATTCCAAAGGGAATTGTCATGAGTAGAGAGAGAGGTAAGGTAGGAGTTAAAGGGATAATTCCTGCTTCAGTTGCTTACAGTAATAATTATAGGAACGGCGATCGGCTGGATGTCTAGTGCGTTGCCATAATGATCTGGCACGGCGTTTGATATGGATTAGGTCGAGGAGATGTTGAGGTAAGTTATTTTTTTAAAGGATTTTCGGAGAGTGATTTGAAGAGGAAGCAGTCCAGACTGATTGTTGAATCTTGGTGGTAAAGGAATGTACGGCATTATGAAGGTCTTCTGCGGTTTTCAGGGTTATTCTGAGGTCAATTTGATCGGAAAGGGTTTGCTGAAAGAGTTTCCAGTTGACTGAACCTCTGATGAAGGATGGTGGGGAGGGTTTAGGAACAGGAGCTGGTGATACTTGGAGTATTAAAGGACTGTGGTCTGAGGAAAGTTCATCGAGACGGGTAAGGGAATGATTGAGGGGACGTAAACCACTGTGTTGGTCCTTAATACTCAGAAGCTCAGGAGGATTAATTGCCGCTCTTCAATCCACAGCTAGCGAAACACGATATTTTTCTTCTATAATTCAATAAGCCGTAAAAAAAAATATAAAAGGCGTAAATAAACTTGGTTGACTATGAAAATATATGAAAAAAAAACAACATAAAAATTAAAAAGAAATAACGGAGGGTACGAATGTTAGAGAGAAAAAACTGTATTAATGAAGTGAACTGCTTGCCGTCTCAGGCCAGTATATATATATAATTACACTTGTGTGATGTGTTCCATGTTTTTCTCCTATCCTTTGGTTTGAAACTTTTCATTCAGAAATTCACAACCCTTTCGAAATGTGCATCTCAAAAATTCAAAACCCTGTCAAAATCAGCCCCCTCAAAATATGGCCGCCTCTGAGGGCCCCAAGATCATTGCTTTTAATCTATCTAGTACTGTTATATGTTTGGACACAAAAATAATTATTAATTGTGGATTGATGGTTGAGTGTAGCAAATAATTGAAAGAAGATTGGTAGGGGTGACTAGTCAAAAAAATAAATAAATGTCAATTTTTTTACTGATCACCTCAAATCATCTTCAAAAATAATTGTCTTTTATTTGCTTATTTTTGGGAGCCCTTAGATGGGTCCCCAACATAAATATTTTGTACTTTTTTATGGTCGCAGAATAATTGAGGGATCCCCTTCTGAGGTCCCAAATGCCATTGTTCTGTGTTTATCTATTACTGTTGAATATTTTGCCCAAAAAATAATTGTTTGTATTCCTTAATTTAGTCCTATTTGGGGGTCACATTTTTCTGTTACTGTGGTATGTTTGTTCTCCAAAATAATTGTTTTGTATTCACTTATTTCTGACGTTTTTCTGGACTTCTCCGATGGGCACCCAATATATATGTTTCTTACTTTTATATCACCAAATAATGTTTAGGAGGGTCCCTCTTAAGAGCCAAAGATCAATGTTTTGTATTTGATTATATCCGCTAATTTTTGAGGTCCCTTCAATGAGTCCCCAACATAAATGTTTTTTAATTTTTTATAGCCATAGAATGATTAGAGAGCCCTAAATATCCTTATTCTTTACTTATCTAGCCCTATGGTATGTATGGCCCCAAAAATTTAAACAAAAGAGTTTTGGTTTCGTTTATTTCCATAAATTTCTGTGACCCCTCAGTAAATGATTTGTACATTTTTTATGGCCGTAGAATGATTGGGGGACCCTTAGTTAGTTAGTCATATAATGATTTGAAAACCATTTTTGTTTAAAACAAGTATGTTTTTGTACTTAAAGAAAATTTTGAAAAACCAAATATAACATTATTGTAATGAATATCACTCAGAGCGAGATCACTGATTTATTTTTTATTGTTTGGATTTGTCATAATATTCGTATTGAATTTTTATTACAAGCAAATTCAGAATACTCACTTAACACTACTTTTTTGGGTAGGGACCTGTAGATTGTTTTTCAGAACAGCATGACATTTTTCTTTGTTTCTAATAAATAATAAGACATAATTATTAAATTTTCATAATATCAGAGCAATGTAATACACATTTTACAGTCAAAGTGAAATGGTTTGAAGTTCAATATTTGCTATGCAATAAAAGAAAAAAAAAGTGAAAGGATTACAGTCTATTTTAGCTTTTAAATATTTTTCTTTAAAAGGGTGATAAATACTTAAATGCCTTTCTAAAGCTCTGTATTATGGAGCAATATCATTATGCATCTTATTATTATCTCAGCATAAATAAACTTATTATTTCCCATCTTTTAAAAACAATTTTATTACATTTTCATTTTAATTCTGTTAGCATTACATTTCATTATCTTAGCTGGTTTTGACACTATCTTTTCTATCACCAAATGGTTCTAAAGGACTCCATCTAAAATAAAATTGTATAATAATGTAAGAAACAATATTATTTATTCATCCTCTCAGATTCACATGGGGATGGGAGAGGATATTTATCCACCAGGCAGTTCCTAACCCTAAAAAAAAATCTTAGAAGGCCAAACTTCATAAATTATTTCCCATAAAAGCTCTTTTCTGGTCTAACGTCATATCTGAGTTATATTGCTAACAGTCTATTACTTTTCAAAAGAAAAGTATAATTTCAGAGCTGTAAGAATTGGTGATTAATACAGGTTAAGGCACAATGAATAGTTGTGCTAGATATAGGGTAGTATAAAAAGGTCCATAGGCTAAGATGGGTAAAAAAATAAATAAATAAAAAAACTAAAAAAAACTGGGTTTGTGGATAGGAAAAGGAGACATAGAGAGCCATAACTAAGATGAAGAGAAGGATGATTGGGGTGATCAGTGATAATAAAAATGGCAAAAATAAATAACAATATTTATATTAACATAAATATTGTAATGTTATAATATTATAATGTTAAAATAAATATTGTTATTTATTTTTGCCATTTTTATTATGACTGATCACCCCAACCATGTTTCTCTTCATTATTCACTACAGTCAACCATCAACCCACAATCATAACTAAAATGAGTAGATGAAATCGAGAGAGATGCAGATGGCATGGCATTTTTGGATTAAGGGCTCAGTGAATCCTGCCAAAGAACAAGGAGAGTGATGGTAATGCCTTGGTGTTTTATATGTTATCCTTGGCCACCACAAGGACCATCTCCTATGATTCAGGATGTTCAAAATACAACAATATTTATGAAGAAGTAACTGGTAAAAACAATTTATTATTCTGTGATACAAAATGTATAGAAGTATGAAGTGAAGCAAGAAACTGTATTCAAAGATGGTTTCACTTCTTTATAAATTTTCTATTATTTTACAATAAAAAAATCTCAGAACCTAGACAGTTTCAGTGAATAGATACAATAAAATCATCAAAGGATAAAATTCACAAAGACTTAAGCAATGCATCAGTAATGTAAACTAGTAAATAAATACATTCATTTATAAGACAATAACAACAATGAGTCATCAAAAATAAAAATGCTTTACTACCAGTAAGTCAAAAGCACACAAAATAATAATAAATGAATTAGTAACTAACATAAAATGATCTAATTAATTGAAGTTTACAATATTTACAATATTTCTTTCTTAAAGCTATAGCGCAAAATATATATTTATAAATGGTAATGTTTTTTATTTCCATGATTAAACTCAGGTTAATCTGAGAATAACCAGACACTATTAACTAGCAGCATTAATACATTCTCTGGTTCGTTGAAAACGTTTAAATGCCTCCTCTCTTTCTGCAGCATCAAAGTACCACAATGTTATTGCATACCTGAAAAATAAAATAAAAATTTCAGAAAATGTCAGTACCAAATTAAATACAATCCTTGCTAATTTTATTTCATTAGAAACGAAGTTTCAATTAATTTCATATTTTAGTGTTTAAAAATCCTAACCCGTCTTCCCTTGAAGATATCTGGCCAATCTCAATCCTTTCTAACCTTCCGAAATTCCTGGAGAGAATAATGTAATCCCAAGTTTCTAATAACCCTTACCAATCTGGTATCCGACCAGGTTACTCCACACAATCCGCCTTAATCAAAATCATTAGTGGTGTTCAGCCCACCATAGATGACAAAAAAATAACTGTCCCTGTACTCCTTGACTTCACCAAAGCCTTTGATACTATTAACCATCCCATTCTCTTTTCCAGATTAAAATCATTATACTTTTCCAATAGTTCTGTCCTGTGGTTTCAATCTTTCCTCTCTCAACGCTCACAAGCAGTCGCTATCCCTAATCAACCTTTGTCTTCCTATCTTATTCTGTCCTCAGGAGTGGCCCAGGGCTCTAGCATATTTTCTTTTCTTTTTTTCTTTTTAGTTCTTATATCAACAACATCCATAAATCAATCCCTCACTACTCTATATCGATAATTCCCAAATTTACCTTTCCTTTTTTCCCTCAGAGTTATATGATGTGTTTGTCAAAATTAAAGAAGAGTTGAATGGGATCAGTGCCTGGCAAACTTAAATGGATTAAGATTAAACACTGCCAAAACTAAAGCTATTATCACTGGTTCCAAACCCTTTCTCAGATCCAATACCAACATTCCTATCCTGTACCTAAATGACCATTCCATCACCTTCACCTCCTCAGTAAAAATCAAGGCATTTTTATAGACCAAATCCTCTCCTGGAATCACCATATTACTCACATCTCCCGACAGTCAATTGGTACCTTGAAATTATTCCATCGCTTCTGCCGTGTCCCACCCATTCCCACACGTAGACTCCAAATATCTTCTCTCACCTTGATTACGGCTGTATGGTGTATGGTGGCTTCTCGGCGGAACTCGGGGACAGACTGAAAAGAATTATGAATGCCTTCATAAGATTTGTCACTGGGACCCTGAGACATTCCTGTGTTTCACACCACTATGCTGAGTTAGGATGCCTCTTCCCCTCCTTCCGAAGACAATATTTCCTAGGCAAATTCCTTTACCAAATAATCAATAATCATCATCGGTCTTATGCATACAATCTCCTATAATTCAAGTAATCTATCCACACCCTCTTCACAAGATCTCATTCTTCTGACCTTTACACCCCTTTCCACAGATCTGCCTCATTTAAACATTCCTTTGTTGTCTGTTCCACTGTATTTTGCAATTCCATCTCACTAAAAATTTACCATGCACCATCCTTATCCACATTTAAAACCCTCTTATTCCAATTCCTCTTCACAATTCAATCAGACGCTGGCTAAGTATTTATTATGTAACAAGGCTTTAATTTTCTTTATAGATTTTTTTTTTCTCTTATTTTTTCTTCTGTGTAGAACATGAATTTCCATCACCATTCACAAGGCAATGTGAGTAGGTATATTTTGTTTTTCTTAATTTCTACTTTTCCTATTCATAAGATTGTATTTCTTTGAAATGTATTTTATTTTTTACTTATCTTCGACAAACTCCTCTCTATGTGTGTGTATATATTCTTTTATTTTTTCTTCTCCTAATCTTTATGTGTATTCACTTTCACTTCTTAAGAAACAAATGTAAATCATTTATTTATAATAGTTATTTTTTTTATTTTTTTTTATTATTATATTCTATCACTACCATGCTTTCCCTATAAAATTTATTTAGCGTTCCTTTCTAATTCCATTTTGTGATTACTATGTTATTGTTTTAGCTCCAATAGTAATTGTAGAATTGTAACTCTATTTGTTTTCATTAATATATCCTAAGAATTATCTATATACTTATTTTATTACTTTTTAAATATTACCATTTTGAAACAAAACCTGACCATACAAAATCCACTAAATACTCCAAAAATTCCTGACTCAAGACACCCTGAATAAGTAAAATTTTTTGTTAAGTAAATGACAACACAATATATTAAACCATTGTATTTGTTTCATCTTTGATAACTAATTAAATAAAATGATTTTCAAGCATGGCTTGGTCTCTCCCCTCAGTACTGATTGTAAGACTACTTAACAAACTTTTTATAGGATAAACTTTCCCCTCTACTTTGTATTTTCACAACTACTGTAATTGTAAGTAAGTATTTAAATATGATACTTTCCAATATATTTACAAGGTACCTGGTTTTATAAGCAGGTTGCACTTCATGAGGATTTCTTCGATCAGACCAAAAAAATAACAATCGATCAAAAATAGGCTCAATATCAGCCACTTTATCAGTCCATCCTTCTGGAAATATTCTAAGTAATCCACCATTTTTCTGTAATAAAAATCAATCATGCTTTAAATGTTAAATTCACTACTATTATAAAATAAAAATCACATTAAAAAATATTAAAATCATAATAAAAATAATTTTTAAAAAGTAGCCAATAATTTTTATTCAGCACAATAGCTCTAAACTAAGATGGAATCAATAGCTAATCTATCAACCTAATAATGTCAATGTCCCATACCCCCCCCCCCTAGTGGCATAGACTTGTTCATATAACAACTTATGGGGAATGTAATCTGGAATCACTTTAGCAATATGACAAAGATCAATTAGTTAGAATCAGTAAACTAGATGTAACTCTCTCCTCATATCAGTATATCCTTTCTTGATTGGCAACAACTATCAAATATACACAAACAGCCTCATAAACGTTAGCCCTGTCAAATGGGCACAAAAAAGACCATGTTACGAGTCCAGTATATACAGTATAGGATTCTTTTCCATCTCTCAGCAGTGAAAGATTTTGAGAAATGACGTGTAAAAAAAAAAAACAAAAAACAAATTCCATGAATAAAAAATGAATATTGATTCCAGAAATATAATTGACCTACATGAAAACTGTTAGTCCTTAGCGGATGCAGATTTTGATGCTCTACAACTTCTATTCAATGATATTTTTTTCTCTTAGAGAACCCATTTCCAAGGTGCAGTGCCATTTATAGTAATTTGTATCAATTTTTGACAAATACAGAAAAAATCAGCATTGGTTGGCCGTGGTTATCGACCATACCACTTAACCAAATTATTAAGTTTAGGTATTCATTCGACGCACAATTTAACGTTCTTTAATGAGTACCCTTTTTGTTTAGATGTACTGTTTATGAGTTATAAGTGAAAAATTAAAAGTCGAACAAATCTGGCTTTTTTGGCTGGTATAGCTAGCGGCCTTTGAATATCGATATCGGCTAATATTTCTGTGTCAGTTGATCCCTATTTATTTTTATGCTATGAATGTTATGGATCAATAACAATGAATGGTACAAGAATATTAAAAAGTCTAAAAAACAAGGACAGGCCAAAGAGGAAAAAGAAATTTACCCACTGAACATGAAAGGGGTTGGAAAATCTCAAAACGTTTTTAAAAAAATCTTTTTATTAAGAAATAATACATTTTGCTACACTTAAGGGCACAAAGCATTAGAACTGAGTGGAGCACATTAATAACATATATATAATATAATAAAAAACATTATAACAAAGGCAAAAACTGTAATAAAAACAAAATAAATGTAACTTGAAGTGAAATTAAATAAAATACAGAAATTCATAGAAATAAATAAAACAAAAAAAAAAAAAAAATCATACTTAATTACAATATTAACAATTAGCTGAAGGAGCTCCAAGTCCAGCCCTTTCTCCCATGTGTGGTAGACAAGGCAAGATTAATACACGGTGGGCCAGACCTTACCGTGCACCCCCCCTCCCCCTCCCACATCCCTATAAATTGCATATCGTTGTGTTCCTTGTAACAATTTATTTTAAAAAAGCCAATGTTCCCACAAAAAAAGTGAACGCACTGCCCCAAAATGGCGTCCAAAGATGGCGGATTGACGACTTTGACTTTAGTTAGTTTTTTGGTCACTGAGAATCAGCATTTAACTTAATTTCCTCATAGTTGGTCTTTTATTAAAGCTGAATAGTCATAGAATAATAAAACATGAAGAAATATGTAAAAAAAATTGGCTTAGGCTACGAAAAACACCAGTAGTCAATTTTTTTTCAAAAAAATTTTCAAGTTACAAATCAAGCGTCGTTTGTAATTAAACGGTCTACTATAACACAAAACGTGCTGAAATAAAACATCTGGAGAATATATTTCTCTTTCTAAAACGCTGATTAGAGAGAAACACTTTATTTTCATAAAATATAAAATATAAAGGATTGCTGCCCAATTATATTGGGTTGCTATATACACAGCATACTCTTCTATCCTAAGGACAATATATGTTTAAATTTAAAAATTTACAATATTAAATTAAAAAATTTTAAGTCGTTTCGTAGAAAATGTACTTATGCGGCAGAAAAGCGGTACTGGCGTGGGTGGCTTCAGGCCTCTACTACTCCATTTAGTACACATAAATGTCTAAGTTATAGTGATATAATAACATTTTTGGTACATTATATTGGTTTTATTAACGAACAAATATTAATGCAATAATTCAACCGTAAAAAAAAAAAAATTAGAATTTAAAAAAAAAATTTATTATTATTTTTTTTAAATTTAAAAATTTAAATTTACTTTATTCTATAGGTAGGTCGTTTAAGAAGACCTCAATTGTAAAAATGATATAATGATAATAATAAAACTTAATTAAAAAATACATAGCTAAATATCTTGATTTTTTATTTATTTAACACTGTGTTTTGTATATTTACTGATTCTTAGAGGTAATTAAAATTTTTATATACTTCCCAGGAAATGAGTCATATTAATACCTGTTTTATAAACTAAAATAATATATACCTAATCTGAACTATATATAATGAATAGCTACCGGGTTGTTTAGTAAAACTCATATATCACTAAATAAACAATTAATTTTTATTTACTTTATTTTGTGCAGAAGTTGGACTATATCATAAATAAATAGGAAATTTTAATATTGAATGAATTATTCTCTCTGCACAAAGAAAGATAGAAAGGGTGACGCTATAAGTTCTTCTATAAACCAGAACTGATTGTTTGTTTTTGGTATCAAAATGAGGAAAAACGCGAAATTGAACCAGAAAATTGGAAAAATACAGTAAGCGAACGAGAAAGGAAGTGCCAAAACCTCGGAAAAGACAAAAAAGGACCAGTATCCATTATATAGCTAAATGAATGTTTAGTAGACAGATGAACAGAATATTTCAAGATGCTGATAAAAGGGGGTCAATTGCAGTTTGGATGACATTAAGTGGACGATGTATGTTTATTATGGTGAAAACCACATTATTTTCGATTGCTGAAGGTGCACATCGGGACTATCTTCACTTTGAAGCAGGATATAGAGAGGTATATCGAGAAAGTTATAGCTCATAGCTCTCCTTCTGTTTAGTGCATTTGCAAAAGATTTTTTAAGGAATCTAAAAGGAAAACGAGCTTTTCTGAAAGACAATTAGATATTAGCACAATCCAAAGTGTGAGGCACTAAGCAGATAGAGAGCTATTTTTCTTTTTATATGGACTTCTCTATAACCTGCCTTAAAGTGAAGACAGACCCAATTTTCAACTTCTCTTCCAATGTGCAACTTGAGTTTCTCAATCCATATCGCTCTGGCAATCGACAATACTTCTTATTCCAGCTTCTACGATTCTTGAGTATAATTTGTTTGGTACACTAAACAGGAATGGATCTTGATGGAGATTACATTTTCTAGTATCTCCTTTCTTGTAAAGGTAAAAACCACAGTCCTTTCATATCATTTTCTAATATACTTGTTGCCTATGTACGCTCAAAACTGTGCGAAGCATTTCGGTTTCGACCTTTCCATTTCTTTGTTCAGAGGGAATAATGCATTCAATATTAAAATTTCCTATTTTTTTATGATATGGTACAAATTCCGAACAATTTCTTCCTCAATTTCTGAACAATAACGAGCTATAACTAATATAAGATTCCTTAAAAAATCTTTTGCAAATGCACTAAACAGAAGGAGAGCTATGAGCTATAACTTTCTCGATATACCTCTCTATATCCTGCTTCAAAGTGAAGATAGTCCCGATGTGCACCTTCAGCAATCGAAAATAATGTGATTTTCACCATAATAAACATACATCGTCCACTTAATGTCATCCAAACTGCAATTGACCCCCTTTTAGCAGCATCTTGAAATATTCTGTTCATCTGTCTACTAAACATTCATATAGCTATATAATGGATACTGGTCCTTTTTATCTTTTCCGAGGTTTTGGCACTTCCTTTCTCATAGTATTTCACAAATAACAAAGCACTTTTAAAGCCTAAAAAATGATTGTGTAACTTCTAACAACAGAACGTTTTGTATTCGATACTGGGTATACGTATCTGCAGAATGGTAGCTAATATAAGGATTCTGATAGAAAATTCGAGTTTCTCACACCAAAATTAGTCAAGAGAAACAGTTTTCATCGAAGATACATGCAAACAATTTTTTTTTTGGGCAGGGTTACGTTTTCAATCGAAAAATTAGAGTTACTGTTAAGCAGACCATATAACTGGCAAAATTGTCGGTTAAGTTCTTGTCTTTTAAGTCTGGTATGTGGGTTCCATGTTAGCCATTTATCTAAAAGGAATCCAAGATACCGAACTGTATCTGAGATGGGGAGAGGTACAGAGTTCAAAATGATTGGTGGACAGGATCTGGGTCGGAGGGTGGCATGCTTGCATTTAGATTCATTGACTTTGATGCACCAATAGTTGCATCACTAGTCAATTAGGGAGATGTGTCTTTGCAAGTTTTGGATGCTGTTGCAGGGTCTGGATCGGATGTCAGGATGGCCATATCGTCAGCGAATGTTGCTAGAAGTTTATTGGGATTTGTTGGAATGTCAGCCTCACTGGGTAATAATTAACACAAGCGTCAACTGGATAAGAATTCAGTGCCACAGCAGACTTGGAAGGAACAATTTGAGATTTAGGATTTAAGGACTAGGTACAAGGATTGGGGTAAATGGGTTTCGAGTTCAGAAAGCAAACCATCGCACCATAATTGGTCAAAGGTTTGTGCTACGTTCAGGAAGGCACCAGTGCAATATTGCTTATTTTCAAGTGCAGAAGATATATGGTCAACAACACGAAAGCCTTGTTGGACAGTCGAATGTCTTGAGTGGAATTCAAACTGAAGTGATAGACGGAAGGGATATCTTGGGAATCAAGTATAGGTAGGATGCGTTTGAGAAGTTTTTTTTTCAAAAGCTTTTGAAAGGATCAGGAGCAAGCTTATTGGTCTATACAACCAGATATTATTAACAGGTTTACCTGTTTTAAGGAAGAGGATAAATATGGAGCATTTCCAAACTAAAG